GCTTAATGTTAAGGAAAATAGCAGCATATTGCTATGTGTGAGATTATAGACTTCACCTGGCTGTTATGAAACTACAATGAAAGTTAAACAAGGATTTACATTTAAATAGCCCTTTCGCATCAGGAGATCTCAAAGTGACTGAGCTGGGAGAGGAGCTTGAGGGATGGAGGAAATGTACAGGGTGTCCACAAATTCCTGTTCGCCCCACATTTTTTTCTACAGTCACTGACCAACAACTGGAGCATGTGGAAGAATGATGATAATTGTATTTAGAAGCATTTTATTGTATTCAGCACAAGTGTTTAACTGTATTTAGATGTCCAGAGAATGAGTGAGTGACCGCCACATTTTCATGGCAGATAATGATCTGTTGCCGATTTCAGTGTGACATCTTCTGTAACATGGTGTGAGGAGACGAAATGCATCTCTGACAGCTTGTTTCAGCTCCTCCGTATTCTCATATCACTCTTTGTAACGGGGGGATAAGAGGACTTTATGTACACCCTGTAGAAAATATTGTTTCTCATACAAGTTTTGCAGACAGGGACAGAAGCGATAGTGAAGCAGACCAGTATCAGCTGAACAGAGGAAGCAGATTGGACAGTGGGCGAGGGTGTGGGGGCATTTCAAAGAGGACAAGGATCAAATTCAAGATCTTGAATTTGATCCACTCAGGGATGGGGGTAGTTTCTAGGAACCAATGTAAAAAAGAATTAGATGTTTCCAATGTATATTTTATATACTGCGAAATTAGATATAGACTCAAGCCCGAAGAGAGAATCACAGGAAAAAACACAAGCAACTCAGAAAAATGTATTTGATCATTTAAGGGAAAAAAGATGACGATTAGTGAGCAAGATCTGGAGAAGGCAATGAATGTAGACACGGCAGCCAATTCACACACAACAGCGTCCCTCAAACAGCCATGAAGTGAATGAAGTGCTGGTGAGTAATGAGGTGCTGTAGAAGTTGCTTGTGTCGGACTCAATCAAAGCAGTTGAAGATTTCCAAGATGACAATCAATGTAAAGAGCTAGTGTTCCAAAGGTTGGCAAGACACGTCAGAAGATCACCAGTGGACACTGATGCAGAGAAACCATAATGATCATCAGGTCAACACTACACTTGGACTGAGCTCTGCAGACAACATCACTACCCAACCCAACAGGGTGCTCAACATGATCGTAATCCAATCTCAAAACATGCAAGGAACTGCTTTCATATACGGAAATCTGATTTTGTAATCTGTTTACCCGGAGGATAGCTACATACATATGGAATCAGGACAGCTATAGGAATCAAGTGCCTTCTTGATACAAAGCCTTTTCATCCCAAGTTTCACATCACAAATAGTCAGGAGACTATTCCAAGTTACCCAGAGCAAGAGAAAAATGTTTTTATTAGAAATAGGTGACTAGGAGCATTATTCACATGTGGACGTATTGGAACACGATCTCATTCGAAAATCAACAGCCCATTGAGAACGAGACACACCATTTTAGTCGATGAAAGGACTGTTTCAGTTTGGAATAGAACATCTGCACTTTAATTAGTTAATTTTGTTACCATCAATTCTGTTACTGTCAATCACTTGGAGGAACTTTCTCAGAGCGGGATTTTACTGTCAACAGGGGGATTTATGGCATAAGAGCAGAGGAGTGGGAATAGTTGGATAGCTCTTTCAAAGGGTGGGCATAGGCACGATGGGCTGAATGGCCTCCTTCTGTGCTGCAAGATTCTATGATAACAGCGACTTGCTTTTGCAGGAACACATCGCAATGGGGAAGGAGGAGGTCAGGAAAGAGGATGTCCCATCCTCAGTATCAGATATTCCTGAAGATTTCAAGCGTATTGGATGTTCCAATAAAAAATCAAAAAGGAAAGGAACTAAGTGACAGCAATTTATCCAGGGCAGAGGTAGGGATTTGAAGGAATAAGCCTCTCAAGGTGAAAGGCACTATACCAAACGCAAGTATCATTTTGTATACTATAGCACCTTTCACGGTGGGAGGATGTCTCAAGTACTTCACAGGATTTACTGTACAGCGATTGTGGATTTGTCGACAACCACAGCAGCCAATTTGTATACCGCAATGTCCCACAAACAGCCATGAAGTGAATGAGCAATTTTATCTTGATGACGAAGGGTTGGGAGAGTGGTGGGGGGGCAGTGGGGTACTGCTGATCAGGACACTGAGAGAAACTCCCGTGGATGTAATGCCATGGGATCTTTAATGCCCATCTGAACAGGCAGACAGGAACTCGGTGTTACTGCTTCATTTGAAGGGCGGCACCTCGAACAATGCAGATAACATCCACAACAACAACAACAAGATTCCATTTATAAAGCGCCTTTCACGTCAGGAGGACGTCCCAAGGCGCTGCACAGTTGGGTCAGGACCCGAGCAGGGGGGAAATGGTCAGGGTGAGGGGAGGGAAGGGAGGGAGCGAGGAGGGGAAGAGAGTCGAGAGGGGAGCTGAAGGCTCGGTCAAAGAGAAAGAGAAAAATCCAGCACTGCACTGGAGTGTCAGCCTGCAGTCCCAATGAGTGGCTTGAACCCACAACTCTTAATATTTTGTTAAAGCTATATCTGAATTCTGTAACAATGCCACCCTTACAGTGGGAATGTATATCTCTCAATCCAACTGACTTTTCAGAAGCAGCACTGCAGTTAACTAGAATACCTCCACCTTTATGGTAGGAATCTGAGAAACCCGGTTTGTAAACAACATTCCTCATTCACCACTCCCCGAGCAGAGAAGGAATTCACTCAGTCTTTTATGGCTCTCTGTCAACAACAACAACAAATTACATGTGTATAGCGCCTTTCACATCGGGAGGGAGTCCCAAGGCGCTGGACAGTCAGGGATTTGGATCCGAGCTGGGGGTTGGCATCAGGAGGGTTGGGGAGCAGGAAGGGTAGGTGTTGGAGGGTGGCCGAAGGCATGGTCAAAGAGGAGGGTCTTGAGACTTGAAGGAGATAAGGGAGGGAGCAAGACAAAGATACTGTGGGATGGGGGATGTGGAGCGGGCCAGAGTCCACTGAGCAGGACGGATAAGTCGGTATGGTCGTTAAGTGTAGTGACTTTTTTTTGTGTAGGCAAATGTGATAGCTACTTTGCACGTGGCCAAGTCCCACAAACAACCAAGATCATGGGACATGGAGCAGTCCGAAGCCTGCTGAGCAGAGAGGTCGATATGGAGTCAGCAGGTCAGTAATGCAGAACCCAAACTACAATATCTAGTTCACAGGTTTTCAGGTAATATAATGATAAGAAGAATCCTTGTATTTGATATTGTGGCATATAATCTTGTTGAGACTTCTCAAAGCAGTTGTAAAGTGCATTGACTGTAGGCGAAACCCACAGCTGCGTGGATATAAAATGCAAGGATCAATTATTACTTTATTCTTAATTATTTTTAGCAATTCATTTTATTACTTACTTTTATTAATTTCCATTGTGCATTTCAGAAATTTATGCCTGTGTATTTATAATATCATCTGATGCAGTTACATTTAAGACCATAGAGGACAGTTTTTAGTTAGAAGAAAATGTTAACTATTATAATTATTGAGAACCTGGATGAGGAGCCAAGACAAGGGACATTATTGCAGTGCACCAATTAAGCTAAAATCATAGAATTATACAGCAGAGAAGGAGGCCATTCGGCCCATCGTGTCCGTGCCGGCTCTTTGAACAGAGGTATCCAAATCAATCCCACTTCCCCGCTCTCTCCCCATAGCCCTGCAAACTTGTCCTCCCCAAAGAATTATCTACTTCTCTCTTAAAGATTCTTAAAAGATAAACAATTCCAAGAAGATAAACCACACAGTGGATATTCCCCCAAGATACCTTGACTTTGACTCTTACCAACATCAACTTGCCCCCTTGCACCTTGAACCTCTGTGTACTTAGCAGTAAGTAGGAAGCCAGTTGTTAAGTCCCGGTCGGGGCACTACTATGCACAATTAGATGCTGTGTTTCACTGACAAAAATACACAGTCTCCACTTTACAATATAGTTTGTGCAGAAGAAATCAGCAGAAGAAATCTCTCTCTCTCTCTGTTCTGTTCACTGACCATCTATCCCTGGATGACAGTCATTTAATTAAACAATTGGCGCCACATTTCGCCCACAATATTCACAGTCAATCCACTTTACATTAAATCTTGTGAAGCGCTTTGAGACGTCTCAACAACGTGATAAGGCACTGTACGAAAACGGAAGGATTATTATTTTATTATTTCGCCTGTAAAATCAGCACGTTTATTACCCGCCAAGAGGGTTCTCCAAAACACGAATACTAAGAATCTTTTTATTTGATACGGCGCCTTGTCACGTATTTGAGACGTCTCAAAGCGCTTCACGGAATGCACCGTAAAGCGTTGTGACTGCGCATTTCGTGGACGAAACACAATAGGCCAATTGCGCACAGCGGCGTCCCACAAACACCGGTGGATTGAGTGACCAAATTACTTTTCGTACACTGAGCGTAGAAAACATCTTGAAAACAGAGAGAAAGGGAGAGAGAGAGAGAGAGAGAGAAAAAGAAAGTAGCATTGCCCTAAACACCAGTACAAGGTCCTCTTTCCCTCTGAGATAAACACATGTCGATTACATTTCAAAGACTGACTTTGGCTTCAGTGCTGTCAGGTGTGGTCAGGGCACCTGATGCCAGGCTGGCAGGGCTGGCAGGGCTGGCAGGTTGGCTGGCAAGGCTGGCAGGTTGGCTGGCAGGGCTGGCAGGTTGGCTAGCAGGGCTGGCAAGGTTGGCTGGCAGGGCTGGCAGGGCTGGCAGGTTGGCTGGCAGGGCTGGCAGGGCTGGCAGGTTGGCTGGCAGGGCTGGCAGGTTGGCTGGCAGGGCTGGCAGGCTGGCAAGGTTGGCTGGCAAGGCTGGCAGGGCTGGCAGGGCTGGCAGGCAGTGGGCACATGTGCACAGCAAAAGCAGCAACTGCAAACCCAAAGGAAAAAGCAAAACTTTCCAAGTTGCCCTCTCACCTGCAAAGGAGACAGCGACCAGGACACAGCTCGGGATCTGTCTGCGATCTCTCATGTTGCTGCGAGTGAGTGAGTGAGTGAGTGAGTGAGTGTCAGGGCGGCTCCCACTCTGCAGCTGTAGCTCCACTCACACTCTCTCCTGTGTGTGTGTGTGTGTGTCTGAGCCTTTGCAAACCCTCTCTGCCTCTCACTGTGCAGCCTGGACCAGCCCCTCTCACACCAGTCCCGGTCTATCATATGATCCCAATCATGTGACGAATTTCCAAACCCACAGACGCCCTTTTTTGGGGCTTTTGTTCCAGTTTGAAGGTGGAATTTATTTGTGTCTTTTTTTTTGGGGTGGGGGTGGGGGTGGGACGTTTGCACATCCTGCCCAGAGCGCACCCAGAAAACTCCTCGCTTTTGTTTTTTTAAAAATACAACTTTATCTCTTTAAATAGCACGGAATGATGTTGCGGCGCTTTACAGGATGTTCGGTGAAGAGCTTCAAGGCAGCTCAAAGACATGATAAGGCGCTGTATTAAGTGAAAGGATTATTATTATTAAACTGCTATTTGTGCGGAAAGGTGACACGTGTACTGTATAAAACTGTAGCCAAACTCCACTGAGCGCTATTTTTTTAAGATGTCAAAGTATCTGACAGATATTAAGGGTGTCGTATTTTGTGATCAAAAGAAATGTGGCAGAATGTAAAGGGACTGGGCTTAGTTTTCTCTCTCTCTTTGTATGAAGTATGAGAAAACTGCGAGAAATGCTGAAGTGTATTAAACAGAGTCACTTGACAGAACTTAACTGTCAGAAACAGTCTGTGAAGGTGAATGCTCGTTCTCAAAGATAAGTCTCATCGAAAACACATTCCAATTTACAAAACTCCAGGATAGATTGAATACACACACAACCCTGTCTATTGAGCACAACTTGACTCATACAAGTTTTGATCACGGGGTTGCATATTATCAAGTATGAAGTCATGTTAAAAAGATATTGTTGCATATTTTGCACACCAGGAAGCCTTTCTTTGCACAGAGGATGGAGCAAGTTAGCAGTAGGAGAACTGGTTTGCAGGAAAGGTGATTGTTGTTGAGGCCGGGGCTATTTGAGGGGAATTTTTTTTGAGAAACAGCTGGATACTGTCATGGGAAAGAGATCAGATGGGTTGAAGTTTCTTTTACATTCAAACCTCTCATGATCTTACTGCACGTTTCTCTTTCCTCCTTCCACAGCAGTCAACCAAATGAGCTGCTGCAAATTTCACTTTAAATGCCGCTTATTGATTGAAAAGTGTTCGTTCAATAGAATTAAATGGAAGGTTATGGGCTATTCAGCTCAACTACTCGACACAGGCTGCCACCCCTCCTAATGCCCTCTATTCCCTTCTCCTTCATGCATTGGGACATCCTCTGAACATGAAAGGTGCTATACAAATGTAATTTGTTGTTGTTATACATCAACTTTCCTCTTAAATAGCCTCTATGATTCTAAATAAAATTGGTCATTTATTTCATGGCTATTTGTGGGACATTGGATGCCGTGTTTATGACAAATACTAGTCTATATCCTCCAGCCACTCCACTTTGCAATACATCTCGAAGACGTCCTTTTGACAAGAAAGGTGCTGTATCAAATGTAAGGATTATTATTATTATCAACTCCGCAAAGGATATCTTCTTTTTCACACATCCTATAAAGTCCGCGTTTAAAATGATTGCCCCTCCCCCCACCACCATTACTGATGAAGTTTAGTTTATCTGGGATGATTTATTTCTGGCAGATGAAAAAGGATATTTGTCCTCATGTCCAGACTGCCCCTAATTCTATGTCTCAGTCAGACTTTTGTTTTTTCTTTCTTCTGTTCTTTAACAGCAGCATCACTTTTAGTTCAAAAGCTAGGAGAAAGGCAGAGACTCACCGGGGAGAATAAAATCCCTTGTATCTGATAATAATACCTTTATCATTAAATATCAGACAGTGCTCGAATGGCAAGTCATAACCCAAATAGGGTGATCGTAACCGAGCTGGTCAAGGAGCAAGATATGGGGAATTTGGGGCCTAACTGGAGAAAATTCAAGTTTTTCACTAAAAGAAACTGATATAAATCACATTTTTTTAAAAAATTGGTGTTACCTTTGTAATGGTTTATTATTATCTTCATTACAGTATTATAATGACATTGTTATCATTACAATGTCATGGAGTACTATAGCTCAGTGGTTAGAGCACTCGCTTTGCAAGCGAGAGACGTGAGTTTGATTCCCAGCAGGGCGAAACCTTGGGCAAGGTTCCTTACTCCACACGCCTGATAATAATTCCACAAGAAAAAAACAATAATAAAATTGATCATTCAATCTACGACTGTTTGTGGGACACTGCTGTGCGCAATTGTCTGCCATGTTTCGTGCACAAATATACAACCACAAGAAGATTTCATTTATAGAGCACCTTTCACGTCGGGAGGACATCCCAAGGCGCTGTACAGTTGGGTCAGGACCTGAGCAGGGGGGACATGGTCAGGGTGAGGGGAGGGAAGGAGCGAGGAGAGGGTAGAGAGTCGAGAGAGGAGCTGAAGGCACAGTCAAAGAGAAACAGTCAGCACCTGAAAGAGGAACAACAACAAGAACTTGCACTTATATAGCGCCCTCCATGCAGGGTAGTGTCTCAGAGCGCTTAACAGGAGCAGAGCCTGACTCCGAGCCGGGGGGAGGGGGAGGTGGCCGTAAGCAGTCAAACAGGAAAGTTTTCAGACGGGACTTGAAGGAGGGTGCCAGTGAGTGAATGTATTTGAACGTGAGTGTGAGGATCAGTTTGGTGATGAGGAGCCAGTGGAGCCTGGCCAGACTTGGTGAGATGTGGTTACAGAGTTTGTTCTGGGTCAGTATGAGGGCAGCAGAGTTCTGAATGAGGTGGATTTTGTGAATGGTGGAGCTGGGGAGACCGGCGAGGAGTGCGTCTGAGAATCCAGGTGGGAGGTGACAAACGCACGCACAAGGTTTTCGGCTGCATTTGGGGTTAGGTACAGTCGGAGGTGGCAATGTGGCGGAGGTGGAAGAAGGCAGTCCTGGTCAGGGACAAAGGACAGTTGGGGGTCGAACCGGAGGCCTAGATTGCGCACTGGTTCGGTGAGTCTGAGGGAGAGACCAGGGAGGTTGAGCAGTTTAGATCCACAGGTGTGAAGACGTTGAAGGGAGCCAAAGAGTATGGCTTCCATCTTGTCCATATTCAGCTGCAGGAAGTTAACACTCATCCAGGCTCTGATGTCTGCCAGACACGCTGATAGAACATCAGCAGATCTGGAGTTGGTACTGGAGGAGGCAAAGTAGATTTGTGTGTCATCCGCATACATGTGGAGTTTTACCCCATTGTCTGCAGATGATATTGCACAGAGACAGGCGGTTGGTTAACTCGACCCAGGACTCGAACCATGCAAGGTGAGACAGTGGAGGAGGAGGGCTTGGTCGACGTAGCCGTTCAGCCCCTTGAGCCTGGTCTGCCATTCTTTTAGATCATGGCTGATCTATACCTCAACTCCAAATACCCACCTTTGCCCCATATTATTTATTCACTGGGTTATTTCCATGCCCCTTACTGAGCATGGCAATGGCATGGAAGTGAGAATGGGTTGTCTGGAAGTGAGAATGGGTTGTCTGGCGTGTGTCGGCACTGATGGTAGGGCAGAGGATGCATGTCTTTGTACAAGAGCTTTGGAGGTCTAAATTTGTTGTGTTCAAACTCATCTGCTGTTAAATTAATGTCCGTTTGCTGTAACTAAATGCTAAAACCACTCCAATTTGCTTCTCTCATAGCGGGCTTTGTTAAACAAGCAGCAAAGCCAGCCCCTCCTGGAGCTGCCCATGGGCTACAAAGCAAAGGAAATGACCGAGGAGATGATGGTTAAGCGTGCAGAGCGCGCCCGGAAAAGACGCCTCCAGGCAGCCAAGAAGGCGGAAGAAAGCAAAAACCAAACAATCGAGCGCCTGACGAAAACAAACAAGGCTAAAGTGAAGACGCTGAGAGAGAAACGGACCAAGAGAACCCATTACCCCATGATCAGATATTCAAATAACCTTGGGGGGATTACTGTTGCTTTTCCACCTGGCTGTTCTGCTCCACTCCCAGGGATCCCGCGACCTGTCCCCAAACCGATAACCTGTGGGGTCGATAGTTGCTCAAATCTGAAGAAGTACTCTTGTTCCAAAAGTGGGTTACCTCTCTGCAGCATTGGGTGTTACAAAAAGAATTTGCTGAACTTGGGTTTGGCTTGACCAGAAGTAAACAAACAAAGATACAGAGGTAGAGATACCTAGGAGCCACATTGATCCTCGCTGCCACCAGTGCACAGTGCTATCCAGCAACATTCACATTTATGGATAGAATATGAAGGAATGATAATGCACTCCAATGGGTTAGAGTTGTTATGATATGAGGTACATGTCATGAATGAGACTGTGATAAATTATCTTTTCTTTAACCCAGTCAATGTTTCATTTCTAGGAAAACTGACTGGATTCATGGATGGTATTTTGCAATTTTATCAATTTTGTTTTGTTTTTCTTCTTCTCCCCCTCCACGCAAAGCTAACAATCCCCACAAATGCTCAAGACACCCATACGGATATTGTTCAGTTGATCCAGAAGGAGGTCCACTTCAAAGAGTGCCAATGGAGCCCCTTTTTGTTTTTTACAGGTGATGCAGCCGAGATTGGCAAGAGTCCTCTTTGAGGAAAGCTCTACATGAGCACAGCAAGTCAAGACAAGGATTCAAACTCCAGCTACCCTCGTCTGAATACAACACTGTACTGTCAGACAGGCACCCAATGTGTGTACTCTATTTATAATGCTTTTTGAAAAGATTTATTTCATAACAAATGCAGCAATAAACTTATTTAGAAACATGGAGTCTCCAACCATCATATCAAGCGCTATAATCAAATGCATGAAGATGGATCATACATGATGCATCGGATTTTTATGCAATCTCAGGTAAAATTTATAGTTAATTAGATCAAATTAAATTGTATATTTTGTGACATCATCCTTTGAGACACTAGAGTATTATTCTATTATAGGGTGGGGCGAGGGCAGTAATACCTTTGTAGTCCTACCCAGATTACATTAGCACATCAGCAACTTGTAGGTTCAAGCCCCATTTGACTATTCTGAGCTTATCTTCTTGGTTGATACTCCCATGGATTGCACTGGAATTCTTGAAATTGCTGTCCTTTGGAGTGAAATGTTAAACCAAGATTTTGCAGCACTATTTTAAAAGGGAATTTTGCCACATATCTTGGTCAACAATCCCCACCAAATAAAATTGGCTATTTGTGGGACTTTGCTGCAGAGAAATTGGCTGCTAAGTAAGCCTACAAGTCACAGTGCAGTGTGTTCCAGTAAATCTTGTGAAGTGTTGACAACATGATCGAATGCTTAACAAATACATGGTAGGTTATTCCTCTGTCACATGTGGAACTTCATTTGCTGATCGACTGCTAACATAGGTGAAACATTTTGATTTTAGCAGCCCGCCTTTCTCCATCCCCCCCACTGATCATTAATTCACAAATTCCTAACATCAGCTAGGAATTATATAATGATGATTTACATTTATAACACCTTTTACATTGGGAGTACATCTTCTACACAGCTGGCTATGCACCCACGTGGGTTGGGTGTGGGGTAGAGGGGGTAGAAAGATAACGAAAAACTAGTTCAAAGAATTGTGTATGAACTGCCCTTGGAAAGAAAGAAGCTCCATGCAGCACATTATTGGATGAAACTTAAATGAAAGTAGTTTTTGACTAGGTAAGAGCATCAGTTCTATGTAGATCTGCTATGGAAGTGGACATTTCACAATAAACAAGAACCAACTTTTACAGAATGGACTCATCTATTCTACTTGAATTAATAAACCCAAGGCAACTCATTTAAATAAATAACTTAACTGGTTTAAGTTTCATTTTTTTTTGCATTAAATGAAGCCAAAATATGACCAAAATGTTAAAAATAGCCATACATTTTATTATGTTCAGAACTGAAACGTCACAACCTGCAGGATTGAATGGAAGTGACTTCCTGAGAATTGTACCTTTTACAGCTGGCACTTTTGAGTAAATATTCAGTGCAGTGTGTGCCACATTTAGAAATTTGTCCATGTATATATGGCACTGTGTGTGAGGGGGGAGAAACCACATAAGAGCAAATGTTTACAGAATCAGCTTGAAATGTCACATCGAATCTAAACCTATAAAATGAACTTGCATTGAAGCAAGTTAATATGTTTAATTGTGCAACAATCACCTCCCTCTGCATCAAACTACACCATTGTTAAACACTCTGAAACGCTCCCACGTGAAGGGCACTATAAATGCAAGTTGTTCTCAGTAAATCTATGTTTGCAACAAGTTACAAATTTACCTGGGTGTAGTTTTACTAACTGAACAAAAAAGCACCAAATTAAACCATTATTGTTACAGAAAATATTGACGCGAATTTTCAGGAAGTGACTTCTCGTTGAGATTTCATACCTGGCAAGTAGCTCAAGAGGTGTAGCTTCCAACAGAGTTACAATTGGATTCAAAAGTACTTCAGCAACCTAGCTAAGGTAGTCGAACAAAGTGTCACTGCTTCACCGAAACATGTCACAAATTGGTGAACAATCAGGCCATACTTGCAGAAAAGACGTTTTTAATGAAACTACTGATTATGCATTTTAAAAATTGTTGCTTATTATAAAATTCAGATACCAGTAGATTGATAAACTATGACACCAGTTACAATGTAACTTTATTGTGCTTGGTACTGTATGTCCAGTAAAAAGCACTATTGTCCCTTAAGCACTGACAGTTCAACCAGCTGTCTAAACACAGAAAACCAAACTATTTATGGCTGTGCATTCTTTAAACTGCACTTAATTACAGTCTCCATAGAAAATCTAATTTGTTATTTTACATCTTACACTATACGAGAGAAAGAGAGAGAAAAACCTAGAATCTTTACAACTGTACAAAAAATAGAAAAATGTAAGTCTTGCTGCCTTTGCAACAATACTTTATGAAACTGATAACATCTCGAGGGAAAGGCTCCAGGTACCAGGAAGAGCTCTGGCTTTCTAATGCTCTCCAGTTTAAAACCCAGCGCTTTTCTTTTTTGTTTTAAAAAAGAAAGTGAACCAAATCTAAGCTGCTTGAAATGATCATCCCACATATTTCGAATAAGACAAAAACCCACTCCGAAGTTGTGACCACACAGTAATTCCTGTCAGCTAACCATAACAAATGTTCTACATGCTTTTGACAGATCGGGTTTTCATGCTGAGTCGCTGGAAGTCTGGACCATCATTTAAAGACTTCGGACACATCACAGAAGACGAGATGACCTCACCAAGGCAGGAAATAGGAGGAACCACTGCTCACACCCCACAATCTGTAAAAATTGGTGTCTCCTGTGACATTTCAGAACGTCTGAAAATACAATCATTTAAGCTCAGTTCAGTGGCAACCAGGAGAACCATGCTGGTTTTGGTCCACGATTTCTCAGCGTTGGGAATTCTCAGGATACGTTTGTGATCGGCTTGTACTTCTTCAGTCTGGTCCACTGGCCTGTGGCATAGTTCATTTCGAAGACTGTGTCCACCAGCATGGTGGTGCTGCCCGTTCCGTCTGCTTTTGGTAAAAGCTCTGTGTGCTCACTCAGTTTGATTTGAATGATATCGCCCTGCTCTGGACATGGGTTTTCTGGGGAAATAAACAGATTCAATCAGTGCTGTGTAGAATAACTAAACAAACCATTCTTGGTTGGCATTCCTGTGGTCTGATGTGATAAGTTACCTGATCCCAGCCAAGGTAGCACTACCCTTAGTACAATTGGCCAACAATTCCCTCAAATAAAACTGGTCACTGCCTCCATGGCTGTTTGTGGGACACTGCTGTGCACAAATTGGCTGCATTTGGAGGCAAGACATTTGAAGGCAACATCAGAGATCTTAAAGGCAATCTGCTGGGTGTAGTAAGCCAGTGAAGCCTAGCAGGGATGGGAAAGATGAGCTCACAGAGACTGGTATGGGAAGTTTTCTGGATGATCTAGGAGCTTGTGGAAGGCAGAGCTAGGGAGGTTGGTGAGAGGTCACAAAGCTGAAGATTTTAGTTACGTGGAGGGCACGGCAGCGATGAGGTTATGGAGGTGGCCAATTTGATCTGAACACAGATGAAAGGTTTATAAAATGCCAAACTTTTGCACAGCCTCTGTGAGTTGGACTGACCAATTGTTGATGGGAGCCGAGCAGAAGAGCCTCAGCTTTGTCAATGTTTAGTTGGCAAAAGTTAAGGTTTGTTCAGGGCTTGATGTCTGACAGGCATCTTCAGAACAACAGTGTTCCTGGAGTTGAGGGTGGAGGCAGAAAGGTAGAGTTGGATGTTGCCTACATACAGATGACGTTACCAAGACACGTAGATGAGGAATAGGAAAGAACAAAAGGTAGAGGCCCGAGGAACCACACATCACCAAATGGGGCTGGGAAAAGTACAGCAATTTTATATTGCACCCTTCACATACAATGACGTCTCAGAGTGCTTCACAGCACAATGAGGAAGTGGGAGAGGAAGAGGTGGTGACCACAGGTGTTGAAGAGGTAGGTTTTAAGGTGGGATGCAAAGATAAGTAGAAGGGAGGGGGTAAGGCAGAGGGATAAAATCACAGAATTTCAGAGGTTAGAAGTGTAAAAATCCCTCAGAGGAGGGGGGGGGATATGCAGCAGATCTGTGGTTAGCTGAACAGAGCGGGCAGACAGAGGAGTCAGTTAGGGAAGTGTTCAGAAAAGGCAGTGATGAAATAGGAGAGCAGGGGAAAGGTGAGAGAAGAAAAAAAGGTTTCAACACACCTCTAGATCCTGCCATAAATCCAAGTATAAGAGCCTTCTCTGGTCGAGTGACCTTGTTTGCAGTTTTGAACATTTCTTGGGCCGCATACATTTGGTCTCTCTAGAGAAAACAAAAACATGAACAAGGTCAACTGGAGGCCATCAAATTAAAACTATAAAAAGTAACGTTCCTCGTATCAGGTGATTCTTTTACAAACTAAAATCCTGCTTTATAAAGAGCATTCATCTTCTAAATAGCCCTCCCGAAGCATCAACAACATGAAACTATGTCCATAAAACTCCCAAATAATTTTGATATATATATGCACAAATGTACACAGCAATCAATAGTTTCTTCTCACTTTCCTCTTGTTGTCTCTCCCACGACATTAATCTTCACAGTTGGGTGGAATAGCAAGTCCCACTTCCACATCTCCACCAATACCATTCTGCTCTGTAACTAGACGATACCCACAAGACGGGCTGGATGGCTGGCTCTAGAGTATTTTTCAGTAAAACTCACACAAGTCTTCTGTATAAATCATATTATCGCCTAAGTCATACATCAACCAGAGTTACATTCAATTTCCTATTATATCCACTTAAACATGCACCAGTTGTTTCGACCACTGCATAACTCGTAACACCCCTACCGCATTTGGCAGCTGTCGGGTCAAAGCTTTGTTTCCCGCGTCTACCTCAATCGGGAAACCGCACAAGCACACCCCAACGCACAAGCACACAGATCCTCACCCTCCCTCTCGGGGGCGTAACATCAACTTTGTCACACGTGCAGGTGGTGGGGGAGAGAAGAGCATCACTTGATCACGTAGTGCGTTAGGGGGCACGGAATGCCTGATCATGTGGAGAGTGAAAAGGACCAGTCACCTCATGTGCACTTACCAGCCTTGAAGCAACGTACGCAGTGCTCCATGTGAGACAATCGCGGGAAGCTAAGTCCTGACCCATCACCACATTGTGCACTTACTGTCTGTAGCTGAAGGATCGCATGTTCAGTATAGAACAGTGAACAACTACAGAAGACAGGTTTTGACCAGCCATCATGGCATCAGGCAATGCAGATACCCCAAGTAACCATAATGATAAGGACCTATCAGGAGAAGTACCAGATTCTCCAATTTTGCAAGGCAAATCCTGAAATGAATACTTTCAGGCAGAGTGAATTGAGGTTTATGTCTGACTTAATATTTTCTTAAAAGTGATTGATAAATCAGTTATAAAACAAAATTACATTTGTATAGCATCTTTCACGTCGGGAGGACATCCCAAGGCGCTGTACAGTTGGGTCAGGACCTGAGCAGGGGGGACATGGTCAGGGTGAGGGGAGGGAAGGAGCGAGGAGAGGGTAGAGAGTCGAGAGAGGAGCTGAAGGCACAGTCAAAGAGAAAGGTCTTGAGACCGGCCTTGAAGGAGGAAAGGGAGGAAGCGGCGAAGGCACTGGGGGATAGAGTTCCAGAGCCTCGGGGCTGAGAGGCTGAAGGCCCGACCACCGATGGTAGGCGGGGGGGCGGGGGATGTGGAGCAGACCGGAGCCGGAGGAACGGAGGGTACGGGCAGGTAGGTAGGGGGATAGTAGGTCAGAGGTAGGGGGGAGGAGGCCTGTGATGGCTTTGTAGTGAGAATGAGGATCTTGAAATCATCCTCTGGGATGGGGAGCCAGTGGAGTTGGGCGTGGATGGGGTGATAGGGTCACAGAGCCTGGTGCAGGAGAGGACACGGGCTGCAGAGTTCTGGATGATCTGCAGCCTATGGAGGGAGGAATCATGATATGACTTATGCAAGTTTGCCATAACACATACTTTGCATAAATCATATTAAATGTTATTGTCCCAACTGATAAGACTTGTGAGTTTTACTGTAATGCACTGTACCCAGCCCTTAGAGCAGCACAGCGAGGCCAAGTCCAAGAGTTGCACGGCGAGCAACAAATTCATTACTTCCCTCACAGTATCTGGAGCACAAAGTCACACTGTGAAAGGCTTGAAGGCTTTCTTATCAATGTTGCTTCTAGTGCCCAAATAATACAATAAAGGAAGTTTGTAAGATATTGGACAGTAGGCCACCATTCTGGCCTAAAACTGTTGTTATAAGGAACAAATGAGGTCTTCTATGCAGACGCATGGTGATCGAGAAACGATGGGATGACTATCGCAGTACATAAAAGCAACAGTGTCACTGGGCGCTTTCCTCCGATGTTTGTCAGATGAACAAATGAGTAAGAATCCAACTCCCCCTCCTCCCCCACTCACAACGTTGGTCAGTGCAATTTGTACTTACTGTGAGTGAAAGATTCCTCCGAGGTTGTTGCTGCTGCTGTGTCTGTTGTGGCGGTGGCTGTGCCTGTTGTTGTTGTTGCTGCGCTTGCGGCTGCTGCTGTGGGGTTTGCTGCTGCTGCTGCTGTTGCGTCTGCTGTTGTGCAGGCGGCGTCTGTGCTGTTGTAGTGACAGAGGCAGACGCTGGGGTGGTGGTGGTGGCTGAGGTAGTTGATGCAGTCGAGCTGCTGTTAAAAATGGGCGTTCTTTGTTTGAACTGGCCAGGCAGACCAGAGGTAGGTGCTGTTGACTCTTCCGATAGTCTATTCGTCTGTAAAGCCTCCCTCACTGATCCACCCGTGTTGGCTGTGTGATGGAAAAAGTTTTTTTTAATGACTTCCGTATACATCAACCTCTTAACACTGATGTTAGAGAGAAAGTTTGAAAAACAATGCCAGAGACAGAAACAATCAGAAAGCAAGACAGAGACACATCGAGTCAACCAAAAAGAGGGGTTTGTCACAATATGGTCATTTAGTGATACTCTAACTTGCAATAGAAGAAGCTTTGATTACCACTGTTGCCAATTTGCATTTTGTGCGATGACCAGTTATCCGCTCGGTTTCCACATCCATGATGGGGCCGATCCGTTCGTGTGGATAATAGGCTCGCTACCGTATTGTTAATGTTGGTCTCAAAACAACTGCTTCCGATTGTGCAGTCATACCCAGTCTCTGCTACTTGAGCAACAAACTACAATCCCAGATATCTGCAAGATTACTACATGCCCCTCTACAAACAAACAATAAATCACAGATCGATGGATGTTAAATATCTCTCACAACTCACCTTGCGGAGTTTCTGAGCTGGGAATGTAGGACGATGATGGTACCATGCTGGGTGTAGCAGGCAAATAACTGGTAGATGGTAGTGGATTATCATTGTTTAAAGCACCGAGTTTCTGAAGTGAATACAGAAAAGAAAATGTGAGATATCATTTGTAGCTCTTAAAGGCCTTTGCACGGATTGGTTTGTGCTTTATAATAATAATAATCCTTGCATTTGATATAGTGGCTTATCACATCTGTGAGACGTCTCAAAGTGCTTCACAGAATATACTGTAAAGTGAATTGACTGGATATTATGTGGGAGAAACACAACAGCCAATTGCGCACAACAGTGTCCCACAAACAGTCATGGATTGAGTGATCAAGTTATAATTATTACTTTTTTTAAAAAATAGCAGCTTGAATGAAATGTTATGTATTATTTACTTAAGATTTGTTTATAACAGGACACTGGCTCTTTTGTGGAGGACAGTAATCTCCACTAAAATTAACAGTCACATACATACGTGGTTATGTGGAAGCCACAGAAAGTTTGTTCCAACTCAAATGGATTTTGTGTATAGTATTTTTAGTTAAGATCAATTGCACAAGATTCCGCAAAACCTGAGCAATTCCATATTGTTTTCCAGTAAATAAATTAATATTATAGGCCTCTTCTGCCGTTTGATTCTTTCTGTTTCTGTTTCCCAAAACGTATCGATTTGATTTACCTGAAAGCATTCCTCCAAGTTTACTTATCTTATTTACATCTTATTTAGTATCTATTTAAGGTGCCTTCAGAGAAGTCTTCTTTCAAGACTAACAAGTCTCAGCCTATCTTCTTGGAACTTGGAAGCCAAGAATTCTCTGATTTATGTTCTAGAGAGTTTGTAAGTCAGTCATCATATAGAGAGTGGATGCAATTCATCTTAACTAAAAGCAAATCAAAACCAGAAGCATCACATCTGATTTCCAGTTCAGAACTAACCTACCTGAGTAGACACCAGACCAACCGCATAATCTGGTGTGACACTGTCCAGAACAGTTTCTTCTTTGGCAGGCTTTTCTGCAACATCTGCATCTATATTTTAAAGAGAAAACAAAATCTATTGACCATTCTGAATTATGTGCATCTATCTCTGAAATTATTTATTTATTTTTACAAAGTATCCTCAGAGATAAAATAATTCTTGCATATGATATAGCGCTTTAGTACGTGGTTAAGACGGCTCACAGAATATATTGGAAAGTGGATTGACTGTATTTTGTGGGCGAAAAATGGCAGCCAATTGCACACATGCCTTGTTCTTTCAAAGGGTTGAATGAAGGCTTTTGATGCCCGAAATCCCAGGATCACCATCATTACCTTAAAGTGATTGTCTTGACATCTTAAGACTGTGCAGAATTTTGGAAAAATCTAAAATTCAGTCTGTAGTTGGAAGCTATTTTTCTGCTTCCAAATTAAAACTCAGGATAAGCTGTTATCTAAAATTGTTATTTTTGGGGGTAGGAGCCAGGTGTCTGTAAAGCCGTTACCATGCTTAGGGAGTATCCAAACTAAACAAAACATATGCATGCGATCTACCCATTGATGTGTATTCCATGTATCAGGAGTGGAATGAGCACTCTCTCCCTGGAGTAAGCCTAACTTCCTGTTCACCTGACATTAAGGGCACTATATAAATATAAATTGTATTTGCCAATTCTGGAGAGTATGAGGCGCAGGTTGACAAGGGTCAGAACTTGGGAACCCTGAGTATGCATTGGAGTTTAAGGTCAAACTTCACCTAAAACCGCAAAGGTTGCCGTTGAGAGCTCTGTCTGGCAAGCTTCCTGCTGCTTGCTCAATTGGGACCAATCTCCACTCGTTATGGTCTTGGGTTTGCAGGGTTAATAGGATCCAGTTGTGAAGAATCCCATCCCCAGTGACCTGCTTTTTATCCAAGTTCTGGTGATAAGTCATTGGTTGGTTTATCATTAGTAGTGCCCTGGTGCACTGTGGACTCAGCCTGCTCAAGAACTTGACTTCCTAGCCTGCTAGAAAATTCACTCAATTCTGTCATTCTGTTGCCAAGCACATCACCTTAGAGACAGCTTACATTCCCCTCCACTAGTCAGATACACACACCAAAGAGAAGGAAATAGAAGGGTGTTGAAGGAGTTAGGAGTGGATGAAGACTTGTGTTTCTGTCCTGTACAATCTATGTAAATCTGTGTTATTGTCTTAAACTTTAAGACAGTCGTAACCGGAAATGCTTCTGATCTAATTTGCCAGTTTGGGTCACATTTGTGACAGAGTGGTATTTAAGAATTGTTTTAAGATTTTTTGAACTTTTATAGCCAGAAGAAAATAGCTTGATTCTAACAGAAACCTCACAGCTGAAACAGCAACAAGCTAACTGTACATTTACAGTTTTTATATATATATATATATATATAAATACCCTGTACCTACCATTCAAACATGATAAATTTGGCAAATGCAATGACATCAAAACACATGTGCATCTGTACAGGGATTGCACTATACAGAGTTGAGGATTAGACTGGGTTTCGCGCTGTGGTTGCCTACTTGAATCTCTCGGATGACAAATAAAACACCAAATATACAAGTGAAGTCAGATTACACCAACCTAATGTCTCCTTCTCCTCTTTGCTTCCCGACCAGCACCAACCATATCCAGCTCAGAAATGTCCAGCAACTAGAAGAATCAACAGATCTACATCAATTTTGCAGTAATTATTTTTGAATTGGGGAAACCTTCATCTGAAATAGAAAACTTGTCAAGGTTTGATTATAAATACACAATAATTTAAATGCAGATTGAATGGTGAATTTACTTGAATTTTACTATTCAACAGTCTAACCAAATGCTGAGAAGCAAAGCAAATTAAACACTATACTTCACAATAATATGGAAGTACTCCAAACAATCATCCTGATGCTATCAGTACTTAACGTGCAATCTCATTAAATAATACATAACATATATATATAAAAAATATACAACACCAAAGAGAAGGAAATAGAAGGGTATGTGAAGGAGTAAGGAGTGGATGAAGACTTGTGTTTCTGTCCTGTACAATCTATGTAAATCTATGTAAGTTATTGTCTTAAACTTTAAGACAGTCGTAACCTTTACACTCATTTAAATTGAAAGTGACCTTCAACAACAACAACTTGCATTTATATAGAGCCCCTCACAGCAGGGTAACATCCCAGAGCACTTGAGAACATAGGGACATACAGGACATTAACATACTATCTGTTTTAAAACCACTTTGTGTAAAAGGATTAAGATAACACACTTTCTGAGAATTGCTACACTTGATATTTTAAAAGAGATTTGTTTTCTGGAGATGGACAATTGAGGTTACAAGTCTGGTTATCAGTTGTAACATAATTCCTGACTCCCAATAGGAGCCATCAAAATTATTACACAAGATACTTTGCAAAAACACTTTGAAAAAACTGGTCAAGGAGGAATATTTTTTTAAGACACACAAATATATCAAGAGGTTCAATGGCAAATCACATGCACACTGACAACCAATTACACTCACCTTAACGCCCTCTCCTTGCGCAAAGGTGTCCGACCTGCCATTGGTGTTCTGTTGGTAGATGGACTGAATACGCTGGGAGTAGTGGGACTCCGGAATGGAGCTTGCTTTGGAATCCCCTTAAGAGGAGCTGCAAAGTTACAATCAGCATTTACAACTGATATACATGAAGCCAGACATTTTGCCCTTCCACCTAAATCACTACTCGAGGCCATTCAGCTTTGTGTGAACCATTTCTTTCCTGGACTCCTCGTCCAGGCTGGCCTACCATGGTCTGATCACCAGGCAAGGCAACAGTTGAGCAGGAAAACAATAACTTACACATATTTAATAATAATAATCCTTGCATTTGATATAGTGGCTTATCACATCTGTGAGACGTCTCAAAGTGCTTCACAGAATATACTGTAAAGTGAATTGACTGGATATTATGTGGGAGAAACACAACAGCCAATTGCGCAACAGTGTCCCAAAAACAGACTGCATGTTGCGTGTGGAGTACTTGCCTAAGGTTTCACCCTACCCGGGTCCTCTCGCCTGTGAGAGCAAGCGTGCTAATCACAACACTACGGGACTCTTGACAGTCCATCCAATCATGGTCTGATTCGGCCAAACCTGGCCAGCTTTAACCAGTCAAAGCACAGTGGGCGAGCATGCACGAATTTACATCATAAAGACAGAAAACTTCATGTGAGGGATCATGGTCTAGATAAAAACAATTTACAACCTGGAACCAGACCACAGAGGCTATGGGGAGATTTAATAGAGGTGTTCAAATTATGAGAAGTTTTGATAAGAATAAATAAGAAGAAACGGTTTCCACTGGCAGTTGAGTCTGTAACCAGAGGACAAAGATTTAAGATAATTGGGAAAACAACCAGAAGGAGATGAGGAGAAATTTCTGTTATGCCCCAAGTTGTTACAATCTGGAATGTACTGCCTGAAGCGGTGGTGGAAGCAGATTCAATAATAACTTTCAAAAGGGAATTGAAAAGGAAAAAAATTGCAAGGCTATGGGGAAAGAGCGGAGGAGTGGGTGTAGTTGGTATCTCTTTCAAAGATCAGGCACTAGCACGATGGGCCAAATAACCTCCTTCTGTGCTATAAGATTCTATGATTACAGTCCACCACTTAGGAACCCATTTGCTGCACGGATTAAGATTTTAATTAAGAAAGCTATTCCGGTGAGCATTTTTCATATCTATCATGTGGTCAATAGATATACCATAATTCTAAACCGATCCGTTTACTTAGGCAACTTTGGGTGTGTTCTATTAAACAAAAGACACATACTAGTGGTATCAATTTTCTTAACCAAGCCTCTCCCCTTGGCAAGAAAAGGCACTCCAGATGTCTTTTTGAGCTGTTGTGCAGTCTCTGTTGCTGAAAAACAATAAAATGACACGCATTGAACACAGACTCCAATTGGACACAAAATCATAACAGATTAAAAACGATTGATAACAAGTAAACCCCTGAAAAGTTCCTCCAACCAATTAAGCAAGGATTCAGAAGTTATTGTTTACCTTAAAATTAAAAGAGCATCATTGAATTCACAATTTTAAACAGACATTTTAATACAAAACAAATCAAGTAGTCTGTCACTCAGCCTGACTGATTTACTAGTTTCCCTTTGTGACAACGCCACAAGAGCATCTTCTGAACAGTTTACTTATTCTGTTCAAGAATATTATTGTAACAATCTTGTTGCATTTTTCCACACAGTTTTCTTCATAAACTCAGTCAACTTTTAGCTGCACAGTGACTTAGGCTTCTTGGCTAACACACTGCAAAGCTGAGACAAATACAATCAGTTTAATAAAGTTACTCAAAACATCTAGTCATTTCATACAACAACAAAATTTCATTTATAGAGCGCCTTTCACTCCGGGAGGACGACCCAAGGCACTGGACAGTTGGGTCGGGACACGAGCATTGGGGGGGGAAATGGTCAGGGTGAGGGAGGGAGCGAGGAGGGGGAAGTGGTCAGGGTGAGGGGAGGGAGCGAGGAGGGGGAATGGACAGGGTGAGGGAGGGAGCGAGGGGGGAAATGGTCAGGGTGAGGGGAGGAAGGGAGGAGCGAGGAGGGGGGAAATGGTCAGGGTGAGGGGAGGGAAGGGAGGGGGCGAGGAGGGGGGAAATGGTCAGGGTGAGGGGAGGGAGCGAGGGGGGAATGGTCAGGGTGAGGGGAGGGAAGGAGGGGCGAGGAGGGGGGAAATGGTCAGGGTGAGGGGAGGGAAGGGAGGAGGGGAGCGAGGAGGGGGGAAATGGTCAGGGTGAGGAGAGGGAAGGGAGGGGGCGAGGAGGGGGGAAATGGTCAGGGTGAGGGGAGGGAAGGGAGGGAGCGAGGAGGGGGAGATGGTCAGGGTGAGGGGAGGGAATGGAGGGGCGAGGAGGGGGAAATGGTCAGGGTGAGGGGAGGGAGCGATGGGGAAATGGGTCAGGGTGAGGGGAGGGAAGGGAGGAGGGGAGCGAGGAGGGGGGAAATGGTCAGGGTGAGGAGAGGGAAGGGAGGGGGCGAGGAGGGGGGAAATGGTCAGGGTGAGGGGAGGGAAGGGAGGGAGCGAGGAGGGGGGAGATGGTCAGGGTGAGGGGAGGGAATGGAGGGGGCGAGGAGGGGGAAATGGTCAGGGTGAGGGGAGGGAGCGATGGGGGAAATGGTCAGGGTGAGGGGAGGGAAGGGAGGGAGGGAGCAAGGGGGAAATGGTCAGGGTGAGGGAGGGAAGGGAGGGAGGGAGCGAGGCCATCATGTTACAGAAGATGTCACACCAAACATGGTGATCGATTATTATCTGCCCTCGAAATGATAGCGCTCACAAACACTGATCCTTTAAGAGGGTCTAAATACAGTTAAGCACTAGTACTGAATACAACAACAACAACAAGATTTCATTTATAGAGCGCCTTTCACGTCGGGAGGACGTCCCAAGGCGCTGGACAGTTGGAAATACAGTTAAGTACTTCTAAAAACAATTATCATCATTCTTCCCCATGTTTCAGTTGTTGGTCACTGTGTAAAAGAACACACACACGCACGGGGGTAACAGGACTTTGTGGACAACCTGCACAATATAGCTGCCTCTGGAGGATATGAGATAATAATAATCCTTGCATTTGATTTAGCGCTTTTCACGTCTTCGAGACATCTCAAAGAGCTTCACAGAATATACTATAAAGTGAATTGACTGTATATTTGTGGGCAAAATGGGGCAGCCAATTGCGCACAGCAATGTCCCACAAATAGTCGTGGTTTAAATGACCAAATTATTATTACTTTTTTGAGGAATTATTATCTCTGGAAATTGATCCGCCAATCGACTAACAACCTACTTACTGCTAGGTAAAAGAGGCGTGCGGAGTAAGGAAACTTGCCCAACATTTTGCCCCGCCGGGAATAGAACCCAGGTCTCTCGCTTGCGAGGCGAGTGCTCTAACCACGGAGCTACAGGACTCCACTTCATGAGATGAAGTCAAACCTGTAGGTTAGTGACAGGAATTGCATTTTGAACAGATCTTCTTTCTGACCTGAAATTAATTCCAGCCAAGTTTTCAAAATGTGCCAGGTTCACTTAATCTTGTATTTATTTTGATCTGTACATTTATATATTACTTTACCAACAACTTGCATTTATATAGTGCCCCTCATGCAATGCAGCATCCCGGAGCACTTGACATTGGCGGAGTATGACACGAAGTCGGGGGAAGAGGTGGGGGGGAGGTGATTGTAAGCACGATCGAAAAGGAAGGTCTTTAGGCAGAATTTGTGAGTGGGGAGGGAGGGCATTTCTGGTATCTGCAAGAATTCTTTCAAGCTGGCTGTCTTGAAAGAGTTGTGTACAGAAACAACTTGTACTTCAGTGAGCTGGACATAGAGAACAGGTACCTGTGATTCTACACTCAGTGAATTTCTGATCGAAATCATGCATCTGGGAAGGTTCAGAACAAAACATGGAGACTTTCTCTGGGTCTCCAGATTTTTACATTCCTCCACATTCAGATCCAAGTACAAATTAATTGACTACCCGTCTCTGCAGTTTATAGGATGTTGCTGGCACAGATGTTAGATTCAAAGGTTTAGCCCTAATGGAATTAACCGTTCTGTCCAGCCTGGGTCAAAAGGAGCGGCCAGAATAAACCAGCCATTCTGGTCAGCCAAGGTGGAGTCTGGAACCCGAGAACAGAGGAACCGAAGCCAGCAAGGTCTGCTTGGAGCTAGCTCAGCTTCAGGGAGACCTTGCTTACCTCCACGCTCAGGGCCAGCCCCAGGAGGATAGATTCTAGTTGGTCATTTGAATTTCGATAAGCACTGGTTTGAGCACTACTTGGTTGGTTAAGGCAGTGGAGATCTGCAGGAGCCGGTGGTACCAAACTCCAGCATGATTCAGCTCCTTCACAGACAGCAGAACAGGAGAGAAAATAATTGTGAAATTGAGCTTTTAAAATACCCTTTCTTTTTTTTCAAAAAAGACGAGGAGAGCAACTTGGATCCATCACCCCTTCCTGATGTGGATTTGGAAAGTCTTCCAGGTCGGGAAGAGGATGAGGAACAGCGCTGGCTGGATGCTCTGGAGAAAGGGGAGCTGGACGATAATGGGGAATTAAAGAAGGAAGTTGATGAAACACTACTTACAGCCAGACAGGTGAGAGACAGCATTCAGTCTTAAAATCATAGAATCCTACAGCACAGAAGGAGGCCATTCAGCCCATTTTGCCTGTGCCGACTCTTTGTCCAGTTACCAATTAGTCCCACTCGCCAGGTAGGAGAGAAAAATTATAGGCCTAATTTTCAGTATTTATTAATGGAATTCCATAATAAGGAATCCCAAAGCTCACAAATGGCTTTGGATGAGTTCCTCTCTTTCTCCCTCTCCTCATGATGGAATAGCTTGCTGACATTCATCTTTTGGCTGACACATCATGACCATCATTGGTTTGAGGCACTGGATGTCTGCATGATGCGGTGGAACCAAACACGAGTCAGCTCCTTCCTGTAACCATAAGGAGTCCCTTCAGAATTCCTGAGAGACAGGAAATGTACCAGAGTGAGCTCCCACAGCATAAAGTATTTGTTGTCAGGAATCCCATTTGGCACAGGGCAGATCCCTTGTTGTGATATCTGTTAAGATATATCACAAATTAGTTCTCTATGTTGTCTCGACGGAAATGAACTGCGGTGAGCTCCTGTAACAATTTGTGTCACCTTTTAATAATAACACAAATCGCAGGACAGTCAGCACCTGAAAGAGGAACAACAACAAGAACTTGCACTTATATAGCGCCCTCCATGCAGGGTAGTGTCTCAGAGCGCTTAACAGGAGCAGAGCCTGACTCCGAGCCGGGGGGAGGGGGAGGTGGCCGTAAGCAGTCAAACAGGAAAGTTTTCAGACGGGACTTGAAGGAGGGTGCCAGTGAGTGAATGTATTTGAACGTGAGTGTGAGGATCAGTTTGGTGATGAGGAGCCAGTGAGCCTGGCCAGACTTGGTGAGATGTGGTTACAGAGTTTGTTCTGGGTCAGTATGAGGGCAGCAGAGTTCTGAATGAGGTGGATTTTGTGAATGGTGGAGCTGGGGAGACCGGCGAGGAGTGCGTCTGAGAATCCAGGTGGGAGGTGACAAACGCACGCACAAGGTTTTCGGCTGCATTTGGGGTTAGGTACAGTCGGAGGTGGCAATGTGGCGGAGGTGGAAGAAGGCAGTCCTGGTCAGGGACAAAGGACAGTTGGGGTCGAACCGGAGGCCTAGATTGCGCACTGGTTCGGTGAGTCTGAGGGAGAGACCAGGGAGGTTGAGCAGTTTAGATCCACAGGTGTGAAGACGTTGAAGGGAGCCAAAGAGTATGGCTTCCATCTTGTCCATATTCAGCTGCAGGAAGTTAACACTCATCCAGGCTCTGATGTCTGCCAGACACGCTGATAGAACATCAGCAGATCTGGAGTTGGTACTGGAGGAGGCAAAGTAGATCTGTGTGTCATCCGCATACATGTGGAGTTTTACCCCATTGTCTGCAGATGACATTGCACAGAGACAGGCGGTTGGTTAACTCGACCCAGGACTCGAACCATGCAAGGTGAGACAGTGGAGGAGGAGGGCTTGGTCGACGTAGCCGTTCAGCCCCTTGAGCCTGGTCTGCCATTCTTTTAGATCATGGCTGATCTATACCTCAACTCCAAATACCCACCTTTGCCCCATATTATTTATTCACTGGGTTATTTCCATGCCCCTTACTGAGCATGGCAATGGCATGGAAGTGAGAATGGGTTGTCTGGAAGTGAGAATGGGTTGTCTGGCGTGTGTCGGCACTGATGGTAGGGCAGAGGATGCATGTCTTTGTACAAGAGCTTTGGAGGTCTAAATTTGTTGTGTTCAAACTCATCTGCTGTTAAATTAATGTCCGTTTGCTGTAACTAAATGCTAAAACCACTCCAATTTGCTTCTCTCATAGCGGGCTTTGTTAAACAAGCAGCAAAGCCAGCCCCTCCTGGAGCTGCCCATGGGCTACAAAGCAAAGGAAATGACCGAGGAGATGATGGTTAAGCGTGCAGAGCGCGCCCGGAAAAGACGCCTCCAGGCAGCCAAGAAGGCGGAAGAAAGCAAAAACCAAACAATCGAGCGCCTGACGAAAACAAACAAGGCTAAAGTGAAGACGCTGAGAGAGAAACGGACCAAGAGAACCCATTACCCCATGATCAGATATTCAAATAACCTTGGGGGGATTACTGTTGCTTTTCCACCTGGCTGTTCTGCTCCACTCCCAGGGATCCCGCGACCTGTCCCCAAACCGATAACCTGTGGGGTCGATAGTTGCTCAAATCTGAAGAAGTACTCTTGTTCCAAAAGTGGGTTACCTCTCTGCAGCATTGGGTGTTACAAAAAGAATTTGCTGAACTTGGGTTTGGCTTGACCAGAAGTAAACAAACAAAGATACAGAGGTAGAGATACCTAGGAGCCACATTGATCCTCGCTGCCACCAGTGCACAGTGCTATCCAGCAACATTCACATTTATGGATAGAATATGAAGGAATGATAATGCACTCCAATGGGTTAGAGTTGTTATGATATGAGGTACATGTCATGAATGAGACTGTGATAAATTATCTTTTCTTTAACCCAGTCAATGTTTCATTTCTAGGAAAACTGACTGGATTCATGGATGGTATTTTGCAATTTTATCAATTTTGTTTTGTTTTTCTTCTTCTCCCCCTCCACGCAAAGCTAACAATCCCCACAAATGCTCAAGACACCCATACGGATATTGTTCAGTTGATCCAGAAGGAGGTCCACTTCAAAGAGTGCCAATGGAGCCCCTTTTTGTTTTTTACAGGTGATGCAGCCGAGATTGGCAAGAGTCCTCTTTGAGGAAAGCTCTACATGAGCACAGCAAGTCAAGACAAGGATTCAAACTCCAGCTACCCTCGTCTGAATACAACACTGTACTGTCAGACAGGCACCCAATGTGTGTACTCTATTTATAATGCTTTTTGAAAAGATTTATTTCATAACAAATGCAGCAATAAACTTATTTAGAAACATGGAGTCTCCAACCATCATATCAAGCGCTATAATCAAATGCATGAAGATGGATCATACATGATGCATCGGGATTTTTATGCAATCTCAGGTAAAATTTATAGTTAATTAGATCAAATTAAATTGTATATTTTGTGACATCATCCTTTGAGACACTAGAGTATTATTCTATTATAGGGTGGGGCGAGGGCAGTAATACCTTTGTAGTCCTACCCAGATTACATTAGCACATCAGCAACTTGTAGGTTCAAGCCCCATTTGACTATTCTGAGCTTATCTTCTTGGTTGATACTCCCATGGATTGCACTGGAATTCTTGAAATTGCTGTCCTTTGGAGTGAGATGTTAAACCAAGATTTTGCAGCACTATTTTAAAAGGGAATTTTGCCACATATCTTGGTCAACAATCCCCACCAAATAAAATTGGCTATTTGTGGGACTTTGCTGCAGAGAAATTGGCTGCTAAGTAAGCCTACAAGTCACAGTGCAGTGTGTTCCAGTAAATCTTGTGAAGTGTTGACAACATGATCGAATGCTTAACAAATACATGGTAGGTTATTCCTCTGTCACATGTGGAACTTCATTTGCTGATCGACTGCTAACATAGGTGAAACATTTCGATTTTAGCAGCCCGCCTTTCTCCATCCCCCCCACTGATCATTAATTCACAAATTCCTAACATCCAGCTAGGAATTATATAATGATGATTTACATTTATAACACCTTTTACATTGGGAGTACATCTTCTACACAGCTGGCTATGCACCCACGTGCGTTGGGTGTGGGGTAGAGGGGGTAGAAGGATAACGAAAAACTAGTTCAAAGAATTGTGTATGAACTGCCCTTGGAAAGAAAGAAGCTCCATGCAGCACATTATTGGATGAAACTTAAATGAAAGTAGTTTTTGACTAGGAAGAGCATCAGTTCTATGTAGATCTGCTATGGAAGTGGACATTTCACAATAAACAAGAACCAACTTTTACAGAATGGACTCATCTATTCTACTTGAATTAATAAACCCAAGGCAACTCATTTAAATAAATAACTTAACTGGTTTAAGTTTCATTTTTTTTTGCATTAAATGAAGCCAAAATATGACCAAAATGTTAAAAATAGCCATACATTTTATTATGTTCAGAACTGAAACGTCACAACCTGCAGGATTGAATGGAAGTGACTTCCTGAGAATTGTACCTTTTACAGCTGGCACTTTTGAGTAAATATTCAGTGCAGTGTGTGCCACATTTAGAAATTTGTCCATGTATATATGGCACTGTGTGTGAGGGGGGAGAAACCACATAAGAGCAAATGTTTACAGAATCAGCTTGAAATGTCACATCGAATCTAAACCTATAAAATGAACTTGCATTGAAGCAAGTTAATATGTTTAATTGTGCAACAATCACCTCCCTCTGCATCAAACTACACCATTGTTAAACACTCTGAAACGCTCCCACGTGAAGGGCACTGTATAAATGCAAGTTGTTCTCAGTAAATCTATGTTTGCAACAAGTTACAAATTTACCTGGGTGTAGTTTTACTAACTGAACAAAAAAGCACCAAATTAAACCATTATTGTTACAGAAAATATTGACGCGAATTTTCAGGAAGTGACTTCTCGTTGAGATTTCATACCTGGCAAGTAGCTCAAGAGGTGTAGCTTCCAACAGAGTTACAATTGGATTCAAAAGTACTTCAGCGACCTAGCTAAGGTAGTCGAACAAAGTGTCACTGCTTCACCGAAACATGTCACAAATTGGTGAACAATCAGGCCATACTTGCAGAAAAGACGTTTTTAATGAAACTACTGATTATGCATTTTAAAAATTGTTGCTTATTATAAAATTCAGATACCAGTAGATTGATAAACTATGACACCAGTTACAATGTAACTTTATTGTGCTTGGTACTGTATGTCCAGTAAAAAGCACTATTGTCCCTTAAGCACTGACAGTTCAACCAGCTGTCTAAACACAGAAAACCAAACTATTTATGGCTGTGCATTCTTTAAACTGCACTTAATTACAGTCTCCATAGAAAATCTAATTTGTTATTTTACATCTTACACTATACGAGAGAAAGAGAGAGAAAAACCTAGAATCTTTACAACTGTACAAAAAATAGAAAAATGTAAGTCTTGCTGCCTTTGCAACAATACTTTATGAAACTGATAACATCTCGAGGGAAAGGCTCCAGGTACCAGGAAGAGCTCTGGCTTTCTAATGCTCTCCAGTTTAAAACCCAGCGCTTTTCTTTTTTGTTTTAAAAAAGAAAGTGAACCAAATCTAAGCTGCTTGAAATGATCATCCCACATATTTCGAATAAGACAAAAACCCACTCCGAAGTTGTGACCACACAGTAATTCCTGTCAGCTAACCATAACAAATGTTCTACATGCTTTTGACAGATCGGGTTTTCATGCTGAGTCGCTGGAAGTCTGGACCATCATTTAAAGACTTCGGACACATCACAGAAGACGAGATGACCTCACCAAGGCAGGAAATAGGAGGAACCACTGCTCACACCCCACAATCTGTAAAAATTGGTGTCTCCTGTGACATTTCAGAACGTCTGAAAATACAATCATTTAAGCTCAGTTCAGTGGCAACCAGGAGAACCATGCTGGTTTTGGTCCACGATTTCTCAGCGTTGGGAATTCTCAGGATACGTTTGTGATCGGCTTGTACTTCTTCAGTCTGGTCCACTGGCCTGTGGCATAGTTCATTTCGAAGACTGTGTCCACCAGCATGGTGGTGCTGCCCGTTCCGTCTGCTTTTGGTAAAAGCTCTGTGTGCTCACTCAGTTTGATTTGAATGATATCGCCCTGCTCTGGACATGGGTTTTCTGGGGAAATAAACAGATTCAATCAGTGCTGTGTAGAATAACTAAACAAACCATTCTTGGTTGGCATTCCTGTGGTCTGATGTGATAAGTTACCTGATCCCAGCCAAGGTAGCACTACCCTTAGTACAATTGGCCAACAATTCCCTCAAATAAAACTGGTCACTGCCTCCATGGCTGTTTGTGGGACACTGCTGTGCACAAATTGGCTGCATTTGGAGGCAAGACATTTGAAGGCAACATCAGAGATCTTAAAGGCAATCTGCTGGGTGTAGTAAGCCAGTGAAGCCTAGCAGGGATGGGAAAGATGAGCTCACAGAGACTGGTATGGGAAGTTTTCTGGATGATCTAGGAGCTTGTGGAAGGCAGAGCTAGGGAGGTTGGTGAGAGGTCACAAAGCTGAAGATTTTAGTTACGTGGAGGGCACGGCAGCGATGAGGTTATGGAGGTGGCCAATTTGATCTGAACACAGATGAAAGGTTTATAAAATGCCAAACGTTTGCACAGCCTCTGTGAGTTGGACTGACCAATTGTTGATGGGAGCCGAGCAGGAGAGCCTCAGCTTTGTCAATGTTTAGTTGGCAAAAGCTAAGGTTTGTTCAGGGCTTGATGTCTGACAGGCATCTTCAGAACAACAGTGTTCCTGGAGTTGAGGGTGGAGGCAGAAAGGTAGAGTTGGATGTTGCCTACATACAGATGACGTTACCAAGACACGTAGATGAGGAATAGGAAAGAACAAAAGGTAGAGGCCCGAGGAACCACACATCACCAAATGGGGCTGGGAAAAGTACAGCAATTTTATATTGCACCCTTCACATACAATGACGTCTCAGAGTGCTTCACAGCACAATGAGGAAGTGGGAGAGGAAGAGGTGGTGACCACAGGTGTTGAAGAGGTAGGTTTTAAGGTGGGATGCAAAGATAAGTAGAAGGGAGGGGGTAAGGCAGAGGGATAAAATCACAGAATTTCAGAGGTTAGAAGTGTAAAAATCCCTCAGAGGAGGGGGTGGGGGATATGCAGCAGATCTGTGGTTAGCTGAACAGAGCGGGCAGACAGAGGAGTCAGTTAGGGAAGTGTTCAGAAAAGGCAGTGATGAAATAGGAGAGCAGGGGAAAGGTGAGAGAAGAAAAAAAGGTTTCAACACACCTCTAGATCCTGCCATAAATCCAAGTATAAGAGCCTTCTCTGGTCGAGTGACCTTGTTTGCAGTTTTGAACATTTCTTGGGCCGCATACATTTGGTCTCTCTAGAGAAAACAAAAACATGAACAAGGTCAACTGGAGGCCATCAAATTAAAACTATAAAAAGTAACGTTCCTCGTATCAGGTGATTCTTTTACAAACTAAAATCCTGCTTTATAAAGAGCATTCATCTTCTAAATAGCCCTCCCGAAGCATCAACAACATGAAACTATGTCCATAAAACTCCCAAATAATTTTGATATATATATGCACAAATGTACACAGCAATCAATAGTTTCTTCTCACTTTCCTCTTGTTGTCTCTCCCACGACATTAATCTTCACAGTTGGGTGGAATAGCAAGTCCCACTTCCACATCTCCACCAATACCATTCTGCTCTGTAACTAGACGATACCCACAAGACGGGCTGGATGGCTGGCTCTAGAGTATTTTTCAGTAAAACTCACACAAGTCTTCTGTATAAATCATATTATCGCCTAAGTCATACATCAACCAGAGTTACATTCAATTTCCTATTATATCCACTTAAACATGCACCAGTTGTTTCGACCACTGCATAACTCGTAACACCCCTACCGCATTTGGCAGCTGTCGGGTCAAAGCTTTGTTTCCCGCGTCTACCTCAATCGGGAAACCGCACAAGCACACCCCAACGCACAAGCACACAGATCCTCACCCTCCCTCTCAGGGGCGTAACATCAACTTTGTCACGCGTGCAGGTGGTGGGGGAGAGAAGAGCATCACTTGATCACGTAGTGCGTTAGGGGGCACGGAATGCCTGATCATGTGGAGAGTGAAGAGGACCAGGCACCTCATGTGCACTTACCAGCCTTGAAGCAACGTACGCAGTGCTCCATGTGAGACAATCGCGGGAAGCTAAGTCCTGACCCATCACCACATTGTGCACTTACTGTCTGTAGCTGAAGGATCGCATGTTCAGTACAGAACAGTGAACAACTACAGAAGACAGGTTTTGACCAGCCATCATGGCATCAGGCAATGCAGATACCCCAAGTAACCATAATGATAAGGACCTATCAGGAGAAGTACCAGATTCTCCAATTTTGCAAGGCAAATCCTGAAATGAATACTTTCAGGCAGAGTGAATTGAGGGTTTATGTCTGACTTAATATTTTCTTAAAAAGTGATTGATAAATCAGTTATAACAACAAAATTACATTTGTATAGCATCTTTCACGTCGGGAGGACATCCCAAGGCGCTGGACAATCAGTGTTTTGGACCCGAGCCGAGGGTCAGGATTGGGAGAGCAGGGGTGGAAGGAGGGTGACCTAAAGCACGGTCGAAGAGGAGGGTCTTGAGACGGGTCTTGAATGAGGCAAGTCAGGGCGAGGCGGAGTGACTGCGGGATGGAGTTCCAGAGGGTGGGGGCAGAGTGGCTGAAGGCCCTCCCGCCAATAGTAAGGCAGGCGAGGTGGCAGATGTGAAGCAGGTCGGAGCCCGCCGAGTGGAGGGAGCGAGCAGGGTGGTAGGGTTTAGGAGGTTGCCGAGGTAGGAGGTGAGGCCATGGAGGTCTTTGAAAGTGAGGGCCAGGATCTTAAACTGTATCCTCTGTGTGATGGGAAGCCAGTGGGGTTGGGCGTGGATGGGGGTGATAGGGTCACAGAGCCTGGTGCAGGAGAGGACACGGGCTGCAGAGTTCTGGATGATCTGCAGCCTATGGAGGGAGGAATCATGATATGACTTATGCAAGTTTGCCATAACACATACTTTGCATAAATCATATTAAATGTTATTGTCCCAACTGATAAGACTTGTGAGTTTTACTGTAATGCACTGTACCCAGCCCTTAGAGCAGCACAGCGAGGCCAAGTCCAAGAGTTGCACGGCGAGCAACAAATTCATTACTTCCCTCACAGTATCTGGAGCACAAAGTCACACTGTGAAAGGCTTGAAGGCTTTCTTATCAATGTTGCTTCTAGTGCCCAAATAATACAATAAAGGAAGTTTGTAAGATATTGGACAGTAGGCCCATCATTCTGGCCTAAAACTGTTGTTATAAGGAACAAATGAGGTCTTCTATGCAGACGCATGGTGATCGAGAAACGATGGGATGACTATCGCGGTACATAAAAGCAACAGTGTCACTGGGCGCTTTCCTCCGATGTTTGTCAGATGAACAAATGAGTAAGAATCCAACTCCCCCTCCTCCCCCACTCACAACGTTGGTCAGTGCAATTTGTACTTACTGTGAGTGAAAGATTCCTCCGAGGTTGTTGCTGCTGCTGTGTCTGTTGTGGCGGTGGCTGTGCCTGTTGTTGTTGTTGCTGCGCTTGCGGCTGCTGCTGTGGGGTTTGCTGCTGCTGCTGCTGTTGCGTCTGCTGTTGTGCAGGCGGCGTCTGTGCTGTTGTAGTGACAGAGGCAGACGCTGGGGTGGTGGTGGTGGCTGAGGTAGTTGATGCAGTCGAGCTGCTGTTAAAAATGGGCGTTCTTTGTTTGAACTGGCCAGGCAGACCAGAGGTAGGTGCTGTTGACTCTTCCGATAGTCTATTCGTCTGTAAAGCCTCCCTCACTGATCCACCCGTGTTGGCTGTGTGATTGAAAAAGTTTTTTTTAATGACTTCCGTATACATCAACCTCTTAACACTGATGTTAGCGAGAAAGTTTGAAAAACAATGCCAGAGACAGAAACAATCAGAAAGCAAGACAGAGACACATCGAGTCAACCAAAAAGAGGGGTTTGTCACAATATGGTCATTTAGTGATACTCTAACTTGCAATAGAAGAAGCTTTGATTACCACTGTTGCCAATTTGCATTTTGTGCGATGACCAGTTATCCGCTCGGTTTCCACATCCATGATGGGGCCGATCCGTTCGTGTGGATAATAGGCTCGCTACCGTATTGTTAATGTTGGTCTCAAAACAACTGCTTCCGATTGTGCAGTCATACCCAGTCTCTGCTACTTGAGCAACAAACTACAATCCCAGATATCTGCAAGATTACTACATGCCCCTCTACAAACAAACAATAAATCACAGATCGATGGATGTTAAATATCTCTCACAACTCACCTTGCGGAGTTTCTGAGCTGGGAATGTAGGACGATGATGGTACCATGCTGGGTGTAGCAGGCAAATAACTGGTAGATGGTAGTGGATTATCATTGTTTAAAGCACCGAGTTTCTGAAGTGAATACAGAAAAGAAAATGTGAGATATCATTTGTAGCTCTTAAAGGCCTTTGCACGGATTGGTTTGTGCTTTATAATAATAATAATCCTTACATTTAGTATAGCGCCTTTCAGTCAGGAGGACATTTCAAGTCGCTTCACAGAATATACTGTAAAGTGGAGGGACACCAGCCAATTTTACACAGCAAGGTCCCACAAACAGCCATGAAGTGAATGACTTTTTTTAAAAAATAGCAGCTTGAATGAAATGTTATGTATTATTTACTTAAGAGTTTGTTTATAACAGGACACTGGCTCTTTTGTGGAGGACAGTAATCTCCACTAAAATTAACAGTCACATACATACGTGGTTATGTGGAAGCCACAGAAAGTTTGTTCCAACTCAAATGGATTTTGTGTATAGTATTTTTAGTTAAGATCAATTGCACAAGATTCCGCAAAACCTGAGCAATTCCATATTGTTCTCCAGTAAATAAATTAATATTATAGGCCTCTTCTGCCATTTGGTTCTTTCTGTTTCCCAAAACGTATCGATTTGATTTACCTGAAAGCATTCCTCCAAGTTTACTTCATCTTATTTAGCATCTATTTAAGGTGCCTTCAGAGAAGTCTTCTTTCAAGACTAACAAGTCTCAGCCTATCTTCTTGGAACTTGGAAGCCAAGAATTCTCTGATTTATGTTCTAGAGAGTTTGTAAGTCAGTCATCATACAGAGAGTGGATGCAATTCATCTCAACTAAAAGCAAATCAAAACCAGAAGCATCACATCTGATTTCCAGTTCAGAACTAACCTACCTGAGTAGACACCAGACCAACCGCATAATCTGGTGTGACACTGTCCAGAACAGTTTCTTCTTTGGCAGGCTTTTCTGCAACATCTGCATCTATATTTTAAAGAGAAAACAAAATCTGTTGACCATTCTGAATTATGTGCATCTATCTCTGAAATTATTTATTTATTTTTACAAAGTATCCTCAGAGATAAAATAATTCTTGCATATGATATAGCGCTTTAGTACGTGGTTAAGACAGCTCACAGAATATATTGGAAAGTGGATTGACTGTATTTTGTGGGCGAAAAATGGCAGCCAATTGCACACATGCCTTGTTCTTTCAAAGGGTTGAATGAAGGCTTTTGATGCCTGAAATCCCAGGATCATCATCATTACCTTAAAGTGATTGTCTTGACATCTTAAGACTGTGCAGAATTTTGGAAAATTCTAAAATTCAGTCTGTAGTTGGAAGCTATTTTTCTGCTTCCAAATTAAAACTCAGGATAAGCTGTTATCTAAAATTGTTATTTTTGGGGGTAGGAGCCAGGTGTCTGTAAAGCCGTTACCATGCTTAGGGAGTATCCAAATTAAACAAAACATATGCATGCGATCTACCCATTGATGTGTATTCCATGTATCAGGAATGGAATGAGCACTCTCTCCCTGGAGTAAGCCTAACTTCCTGTTTACCTGACATTAAGGGCACTATATAAATATAAATTGTATTTGCCAATTCTGGAGAGTATGAGGCGCAGGTTGACAAGGGTCAGAGCTTGGGAACCCAGAGTATGCATTGGAGTTTAAGGTCAAACTCCACCTAAAACCGCAAAGGTTGCCGTTGAGAGCTCTGTCTGGCAAGCTTCCTGCTGCTTGCTCAATTGGGACCAATCTCCACTCGTTATGGTCTTGGGTTTGCAGGGTTAATAGGATCCAGTTGTGAAGAATCCCTATCCCCAGTGACCTGCCTTTTTATCCAAGTTCTGGTGATAAGTCATTGGTTGGTTTATCATTAGTAGTGCCCTGGTGCACTGTGGACTCAGCCTGCTCAAGAACTTGACTTCCTAGCCTGCTAGAAAATTCACTCAATTCTGTCATTCTGTTGCCAAGCACATCACCTTAGAGACAGCTTACATTCCCCCTCCCACTAGTCAGATACACACACCAAAGAGAAGGAAATAGAAGGGTGTGTGAAGGAGTTAGGAGTGGATGAAGACTTGTGTTTCTGTCCTGTACAATCTATGTAAATCTGTGTTATTGTCTTAAACTTTAAGACAGTCGTAACCGGAAATGCTTCTGATCTAATTTGCCAGTTTGGGTCACATTTGTGACAGAGTGGTATTTAAGAATTGTTTTAAGATTTTTTGAACTTTTTTATAGCCAGAAGAAAATAGCTTGATTCTAACAGAAACCTCACAGCTGAAACAGCAACAAGCGAACTGTACATTTACAGTTTATATATATATATATATATATATATATATATATAAATACCCTGTACCTACCATTCAAACATGATAAATTTGGCAAATGCAATGACATCAAAACACATGTGCATCTGTACAGGGATTGCACTATACAGAGTTGAGGATTAGACTGGGTTTCGCGCTGTGGTTGCCTACTTGAATCTCTCGGATGACAAATAAAATACCAAATATACAAGTGAAGTCAGATTACACCAACCTAATGTCTTCCTTCTCCTCTTTGCTTCCCGACCAGCACCAACCATATCCAGCTCAGAAATGTCCAGCAACTAGAAGAATCAACAGATCTACATCAATTTTGCAGTAATTATTTTTGAATTGGGGAAACCTTCATCTGAAATAGAAAACTTGTCAAGGTTTGATTATAAATACACAATAATTTAAATGCAGATTGAATGGTGAATTTACTTGAATTTTACTATTCAACAGTCTAACCAAATGCTGAGAAGCAAAGCAAATTAAACACTATACTTCACAATAATGTGGAAGTACTCCAAACAATCATCCTGATGCTATCAGTACTTAACGTGCAATCTCATTAAATAATACATAACATATATATATATATATAAAAATATACACACACCAAAGAGAAGGAAATAGAAGGGTATGTGAAGGAGTAAGGAGTGGATGAAGACTTGTGTTTCTGTCCTGTACAATCTATGTAAATCTATGTAAGTTATTGTCTTAAACTTTAAGACAGTCGTAACCTTTACACTCATTTAAATTGAAAAGTGACCTTCAACAACAACAACTTGCATTTATATAGAGCCCCTCAAGCAGGGTAACATCCCAGAGCACTTGAGAACATAGGGACATACAGGACATTAACATACTATCTGTTTTTAAAACCACTTTGTGTAAAAGGATTAAGATAACACACTTTCTGAGAATTGCTACACTTGATATTTTAAAAGAGATTTGTTTTCTGGAGATGGACAATTGAGGTTACAAGTCTGGTTATCAGTTGTATAACATTAATTCCCGACTCCCAATAGGAGCCATCAAAATTATTACACAAGATGCTTTGCAAAAACACTTTGAAAAAACTGGTCAAGGAGGAATATTTTTTTAAGACACACAAATATATCAAGAGGTTCAATGGCAAATCACATGCACACTGACAACCAATTACACTCACCTTAACGCCCCTCTCCTTGCGCAAAGGTGTCCGACCTGCCATTGGTGTTCTGTTGGTAGATGGACTGAATACGCTGGGAGTAGTGGGACTCCGGAATGGAGCTTGCTTTGGAATCCCCTTAAGAGGAGCTGCAAAGTTACAAATCAGCATTTACAACTGATATACATGAAGCCAGACATTTTGCCCTTCCACCTAAATCACTACTCGAGGTCCATTCAGCTTTGTGTGAACCATTTCTTTCCTGGACTCCTCGTCCAGGCTGGCCTACCACTGGTCTGATCACCAGGCAAGGCAACAGTTGAGCAGGAAAACAATCTAAATTTTTAGTTTATAATAATCCTTGAATTTGATGTAGCGCCTTATCACGTTGTTGAGACGTCTCAAAGCGCTTCACAGAACACACTGTAAAATGGATTGACTATGTATTTTGTGGCCAAAACATGGCAGTCAATTGCGCATAGCAGTGTCCCAAAAACAGACTGCATGTTGCGTGTGGAGTACTTGCCTAAGGTTTCACCCTACCCGGGTCCTCTCGCCTGTGAGAGCAAGCGTGCTAATCACAACACTACGGGACTCTTGACAGTCCATCCAATCATGGTCTGATTCGGCCAAACCTGGCCAGCTTTAACCAGTCAAAGCACAGTGGGCGAGCATGCACGAATTTACATCATAAAGACAGAAAACTTCATGTGAGGGATCATGGTCTAGATAAAAACAATTTACAACCTGGAACCAGACCACAGAGGCTATGGGGAGATTTAATAGAGGTGTTCAAATTATGAGAAGTTTTGATAAGAATAAATAAGAAGAAACGGTTTCCACTGGCAGTTGAGTCTGTAACCAGAGGACAAAGATTTAAGATAATTGGGAAAACAACCAGAAGGAGATGAGGAGAAATTTCTGTTATGCCCCAAGTTGTTACAATCTGGAATGTACTGCCTGAAGCGGTGGTGGAAGCAGATTCAATAATAACTTTCAAAAGGGAATTGAAAAGGAAAAAAATTGCAAGGCTATGGGGAAAGAGCGGAGGAGTGGGTGTAGTTGGTATCTCTTTCAAAGATCAGGCACTAGCACGATGGGCCAAATAACCTCCTTCTGTGCTATAAGATTCTATGATTACAGTCCACCACTTAGGAACCCATTTGCTGCACGGATTAAGATTTTAATTAAGAAAGCTATTCCGGTGAGCATTTTTCATATCTATCATGTGGTCAATAGATATACCATAATTCTAAACTTAGGCAACTTTGGGTGTGTTCTATTATACAAAAGACACATACTAGTGGTATCAATTTTCTTAACCAAGCCTCTCCCCTTGGCAAGAAAAGGCACTCCAGATGTCTTTTTGAGCTGTTGTGCAGTCTCTGTTGCTGAAAAACAATAAAATGACACGCATTGAACACAGACTCCAATTGGACACAAAATCATAACAGATTATAAACGATTGATAACAAGTAAACCCCTGAAAAGTTCCTCCAACCAATTAAGCAAGGATTCAGAAGTTATTGTTTACCTTAAAATTAAAAGAGCATCATTGAATTCACAATTTTAAACAGACATTTTAATACAAAACAAATCAAGTAGTCTGTCACTCAGCCTGACTGATTTACTAGTTTCCCTTTGTGACAACGCCACAAGAGCATCTTCTGAACAGTTTACTTATTCTGTTCAAGAATATTATTGTAACAATCTTGTTGCATTTTTCCACACAGTTTTCTTCATAAACTCAGTCAACTTTTAGCTGCACAGTGACTTAGGCTTCTTGGCTAACACACTGCAAAGCTGAGACAAATACAATCAGTTTAATAAAGCTCCTCAAAACATCTAGTCATTTCATACAACAACAAAATTTCATTTATAGAGCGCCTTTCACTTCGGGAGGACGACCCAAGGCACTGGACAGTTGGGTCGGGACACGAGCATTGGGGGGGGGGAGGGGGGGGGGGGGGGGGGGGGGGGGGGGGGGGGGGGGGGGGAAAAGGGGGGGGGGGGGGGGGGGGGGGGGGGGAGGGGAGGGAGCGAGGAGGGGGGAAATGGTCAGGGGAGGGGAGGGAGGAGGGGGAAAGGCAGGTGAGGGGAGGGGGAGGCAGGGTGAGGGGAGGGAAGGGAGGGGGAGCGAGGAGGGGGAAATGGTCAGGGTGAGGGGGAGGGAGGGGGCGAGGGGGGGAAATGGAGGGGGGGGGGGGGGGGAGCGAGGAGGGGGGATGGGGGGAGGGGGGGGGGGGGCGAGGGGGGGGGTAGGGTGAGGGGGGGGGGGGGGGGGGGGGGGGGGGGGGGGGGGGGGGGGGGGGGGGGGGGGGGGGGGGGGGGGGGGGGGGGGGGGGGGGGGGGGGGAGGGAGGAGGGGGGAGATGGTCAGGGTGGAGGGGGAGGGAAAGGAGGGGGGGAGGAGGGGGAAATGGTCAGGGTGAGGGGAGGGAAGGGAGGGAGCAGGGTGGAGGGAGGGAAGGGGGAGGGGGGGGGGGGGGGGGGGGGGGGGAGGGAGGGAGCGAGGAGGGGGTAGAGAGTCGAGAGGGGAGCTGAAGGTACGTATACTACATAAACTGCAAAATCTACACAAAAACATTTTGTGAAAAGAAAAGAACTTCTGTTCATCCCATTGTCCCTTTATCCCCCAAATCACTCTCTCTCCTCGTCTATTCATCATAACAGCTTTCTTACTTCCCTTCCATGACTTTCAAAGCTGAGCTCCACTGTTACCTTGTTTGAAATCACTGAACAGCCTCGGGGTGGGGTGGGGGGAGAGGGGGGAATGAAGCAGACATGGTCTTCTCAATAGAACATCGGAATCCAGGACAGCAATGCGGCTGAGTTTCCGTCCCATCCCAAGCTGTCCTGCCGTGCCCCCCATAGCCCTGGACGGGTTCAGTTTCACAGCACTGATCAGGATTAGGACCTGCAGTGTTTTGATCTGCGCCACTGCACCAGGCTCTGCTAGTGACAGGGTTCTTTAACAGTACATTTAAAACACACCATTTCCGTTCTTCATAGTTTCCACCCATCCATTTGGTTTGGTGGAAGTGGGTGAAACAGAATGAGAACCAGGCTGAGTTTTAAATGGCTGAGAAAAGTCCTTCTCTATACTCAGTTGAAAGCCCTAATTCTCAAGATTGACTGTTCACACAAATCAATGACATCAAATAAGGGGGTCTGTTGAACAGGTATACGGTCAATCACCCTGGTTCCTAGCAGTGCCCTAATACCAGGCTCACGTAATCCAGCAAAGTTTAAACACAGGTTGGCACTAGCCAAGGCTTGGGGAGCCCAGAGTGGTGTTAAGTTTAGCTAAGACATATAAACTATGCAACAAAGCTGTTTTGTAAGTTTATGGATGCTTGTTTAGAAACTTCCCCTTTGTAAGATATGCACAACAAACAACATCTATTTATATAGTGCCCTTCACGAAAGATAGTTTCTTAGGGTTCTTCAAGGTGGCGAGGTCAGACACTGAGCAAGGGAGGAGGGACCATAGGTGTGGTCAAAGAGGTAGGTCTTAAGGTGCGAATGAATAGCAGATAGGGTAAAGATAAATGACATGAAATGCTAAATCTCTCACACACTGAATTATTAAAATGGGCCACCTGCAGTAAGCCAAAAAATAATTTTGAACAAAGAGTAACTTACATTTCTGTAACAGTTCGGCTCTAAGTGTGGCACTTTTGGGTTTCCGTTTGAGTTGAAAATGCTTCACCGGGGGTGTGAGAGGTCCCACGAGAGTTGTCAGAGCATTTTTATTCAAATACTGGCATTCCAAAGGCAGCATAGCAGAGGCTTCACATTCATTGACTAACAACAAAATATATTTGTTTAAATAAAAGTAGAGAGGAGACAAATCATTCTACAGTCACTGAATCCTCACCAGTTCTCGAAACATCCGCGAAACATAGAAGAGGGTCAAAATGACACTTTGGAAGGTCCATCTTGAACTTTACACAGCATCACCTTCACAAACTACAGCTTTTTGAGAAAAAAGGATGAGAAAGAGGAAAAAAAATCTAGAGCCTGCTCCTTCCAACATGGCTGCAAGTCTTGCTGCTGGTGTAAATATTAGCCCCAGATACTGCCACATTGAAAAGCTCTGCAAGTAAAGTTAGCATTCAGCAATTATATTTGTAAAGCGTTTTATAAAGGATATCCCACAGCACAGGACAGTCAGGGATTTGGCCCTCAGCAGGAGGTTGGGATCAGGAGGGGTGAAGGGCAGGGAGGACAGGGGTAGGAGGTTGACTGAAGGCACGATCGAAGTGAAGAGTCTTGAGACGTGCCCTGAAGGCGCAAGGGTGATTGAAAGACTGCATGTTTGAAGGTCCTCTGGAATAAATTAATGCCTCATTGAGTTTTTGTTTGATCAGCCAGGTGTCAAACACGGTGCAGAAAGCCATCAGCGGGTGTTTGACACATGGAGAAATTTATCACCTTCTTAAAATAATCCAAATCAAACTATTGGGAGCTCCAGATACGCATAAGGCTTCAGGCAGAGGAATAGAGGCAGGAAGTTAGGGGCATAGTGACTGAAGGTTCGGCCACTAAGTCTGGTGTGGAGAGGATGGGGGATGTGCAGTAAGCTCGTGTTGGCTGAGGACAAGCAGAGGAGTGGGATAAGAGAAGATCAAAGAATGATACAAGTTCTCGTTTGGCAGCTGCGATTGAGGTGCCCAATATAGCAGTGCTGGGCCCCTGACGGCCAGTTACCATACATGGCCCGGACAAAGCCATTCCAAGAAGAATTTTTACATGTGCAGACGACGAAAAATTGTTTAAAAAAATTAAACATAATTCTGTGATCTACAGACACTTAATTGGGCAAGTGTACAGCAGTGCAATACAATACTGAGATATATAAGGCAATGTAGATTGTTATCAAAATCAGGAGATTGCAAAATGTATTGCTCAACAAATCTAGAAAAAAATTTGGAAAGAACACAAATCACTGGTTGACTAAATCTTTGTCACAACATTGCAGGGCAACATTTTTGCAAGGACATGATTGGGCCAATAGAAAACGTGCAGAAATATTTGCCAACAATTGCAGGGAGATTTGCAAATTGGCAAAAAATGTTTTGACACATTTTGCAGAAAATGGTGGGGAGTTGATTGGTGCTATTGAGGTACATGTCACTGCCAACCTCCATTTTTTCACTTTATTGATAAAAAGTAAACATGAGGAAATAACACATATTAGATTGTTGCAAAAAAATTAATTGCTTCTTTAACAAAAACTGGGTGGCCATTTTTTTTTGGGGTGGGGGGAGAAAGACACCAGCTCGTCTACAGGAGCTCTCAGGGCCCAGCACCGCACATGGACCCAGAGACACACACTCACAGACACAGAGAGACACACACACACACTCAGAGAGAGAGAGAGACAGCACACTCACAGGCACAGAGAGAGACACACTCAGAGACACAGAGAGATACACACACTCAGAAACACGGTGACACACACAAGCTCAGAGACTCAGAGACACAGACTCACAGATACAGAGAGACACACACTCACATAGACACTCACAAATAATAATAATAATCTTTGCATTGGATATAATGCTTTTCATGTCTTCTAGACGTCTCAAAGCGTTTCACAGAAGACTGTATTTTTGTGGGCGAAATGCGGCAGCCAATTGCACACAGCAGTATCCCACAAACAGTTATGGTTTGAAGTGACCAATTTATTATTGTTTTATTTTCTTAAGGGATTATTATCAGGGCCTGTGGAGTATGGAAACTTGCCCAAGGTTTCACCCTGCTGGGAAGCGAACCCAGGTCTCTCGCTTGCAAAGCGAGTACTCTAACCACTGAACGACATTGCGAGACACACACAGGCACACCCACAAACACACAGAGGAAAGGGAGACACAGACATACTCACACAGACACTCACAGAGAGAGAGACACCCATATACTCACAAATGCATAGACATACACAGACAATTACACATACTCAATCACACACACTCCCACACACACAAGCACAGAGGGACAATTATACACACAGACAATCACACATACGCTCAAACTCTTTGCTGCTTGAGCCGCGGGTGCACATCCAGAGCCACTCCGCCCACAGTGACGGCAGATAAACAGCTGGGAGGCCCGCGGGCCAGAAACTACATTTACAGTGGGTGTGTAATGTTGGAGGGTGTTTTGTGGCGGGTTCCGCAGAAAAGGTGTAGCGCACATTTCTATTGGCCCAGGACACGAGGCAGCTTTTAAGTTATAGTACAACTCTTTAAAAGGTCAAGGAATGTGATAGTGAATATGATTCTAATAACAACTGTAATTGTGCTCTTTTAAATAGACCGAGGAGAACGATGGCGTCAAACCATGAGCTGACTGCTTTAAAAAAGGGAACAACAAAACTACATTGATATCGCGCCTTTCTCGTCGGAAAGATGTCCCAAGGTGCTGGGGAATAAGAGTGTGCTCAGAAATACAAATCAAAATTTTTAAAAAAATGAACAGAATTGATCAGGTGGATAGAATGGTTTCCCGTGTAAAATTAACAAGATAAACAGGGGAACCCGATGAGCTGAAAAACATCACAGCGACACACAGTCTGGGGTCCCCAAGCCTTGGCTCTTGCCAACTTTCCGGAATTAGGTAACCAGGATACGTTCCTCCTGGGAGAGAGTGCACATTCCAATCCAACAATTTATCTCTGGGATTCCCATGTGTAGATGGGAGGCATGGAAATCTCAGTTTAGTTTGGATATACTTAAGCATGGGGATGGGTTTCCTCCTGTGTCAGACACCCGTCTGACCAAAAGGAAATACAATAAACTGCCAACAAGCACAGTAAGCACTGGCTAGCTGAAGCATTGAAAGGAAAAAAGGTGAGCTTTAGCTCAGCAGGCATCATCAGGATTTGGGACAGGATAAAGGTGAAGGGAGTTAACTGGATCTTGTACAGGAGCAGAGTAGCGTTCCTCGCTCTCTCCTCACTACCCCAATAATTTCTATCTGAATTCAGCTTCCCAAAATCCTGTTCCTTTCCTTAAATATTTTGTTTTCACCATTGATTTACAATAATTTACATTGATTGCCAGTTCTGCGAAGTACAGGGTTTTTGATCTACAATGTTTAATTACTGGAATATCTCAGCAAAATTGATATTACTGATTTTAAAATATTATTTTATTAAATAATAGTATCCCAATCCCACACTCAGTATTTAAGTATTCTATTGTGCGCAATTGGCTGCCACGTTTCAACCACAAAATGGACACTCAATTCACTTTACAGTATATTGTGTAAAGCGCTTTGAGATGTCTCAATGACGTGCTATTTCAAATGAAAGGATTATTATTATTAATAACTGCACTCACTAATTCAGGCCCATCTCCCAGGGAGATTAAACACCATGCACTAACGATGAAAGTACAATCTCATGTAAAACATTCCGCATAAGATTTCATGTTGTGGGAATCTGATGCCTTCCTTCAATAATTCTACCTTTTTCTCGGAGCTCTCCTAGAATTTCTTGTAGGTTCTGATTGTGTTCCTCAAGTTCTAGGTTCAGGGACCCAGTCTCCGGAAAGGTCTTCAGAATATCAGCCACCATCTGAACCCAGGAGTCGGTGTCCATTGCAGCAAGATGGACAATTTCAGTTAATGAAGCTTTCATCTGTGAAATAAGCACAGAAACATGCAGTACATCAAGCACTCAAAATAGATTTTCAATATAGTTTTTATAGCAAAAATAATCAGCAGTGTAGGCCAATCCTCTGGTCATTCAAGCTCTCCGAGACGCTACCTGCATGAAGGGTGCTATATAAATGTAATTTGTTGTTGTTCGTTTCCTAGGTAAGTGTTGCTTTGCTACAACTAGGGCAAACTACACATCAGTCAAGTCTGATGCACCTCCTACTGCTAGTTACGCAGCAGAAAAGCCAAGAGGGATATCATCTGTCTGCACTCAGTCCTTGTCCTCTCTTTAGGGAATCGTGTGCAACTCAAAAGAGATAGCAATGATTCAATACCTTACTGGAGAAACTGAAATAATGAACCTGCACACTTAGAGCATCACTGGAATATCTATTGCTTTGTCTGTGATCACTTGGTTGAAGGACGATGAACAATAGCAAAACAAATAAAAGGGAGAGTGAAGGGCAAGGGAAAAATACTAATACATCAACTCATGACATTGAAAAGTTTCCAAGCACTTCACAATACAAGTTACTCTGAATCATACTATAGTCCTTCAAGTGACACATTGATTTGAGGCTATTCACTTCATGGTTGTTTATGGGTCACTGCAGCGTGCAAGTTAGCCACCAATTTTCCCAGCAAATAAGTGGTTACTATACTGTACATTAAATCATGTGAAGCGTTTTGAGATGTTATGATCATGTGCAAGGATTATTATTCCTACTACAGTGACTGTTACTATAAAAGCAAACAGGACAGCTAATCTGCTTCTTGCAATGACCTACAAAATCCACAATGAGATTGCTGCTACGTAAGTTATTTTCGCTGGTATATCTCATTTTAGTTGTAAGATATTGATGCAGATTAACTCTTACCTATAAAAAGGAACAATTTTTTTTAGTGAATGAGGAAGCACCGTTGGTCAGGCGCCTGGCCCTTTAAAATAGTGCCATGGATCTTTACATCCACCTGAACCACCCAACAAAAACAAGTTGCATTCATATAGTGCCCCCCCCCCCCCCCCCACCCACACAGGGTGCGTCCCAGAGCACTTTGGTGTCCAAACCGACAGTTGAACATCTCATCTGCAGCGTGGCACCTCTCATCTCTTCATACCAAATCACACCAAATGTGGGTGTTGAACTCGCAACCTTCCAATCCAGAGGTCAAAATACTATCAACTGAGCCAAACTGACTGCACAATAAATATGTTGCTTTTACAGTTACTGTAGAAGTCATCTCAGTGACCTCTGCTGGCAATGCAGTGTATAAACATTTGGCAAACAGGGCGACAAGTCATACTGCACCATACGAACAATATGCTGCATCATACAACTACATATTCCTACTTAATAACATAATCAGTGTTTATATCGTAACAAATTTTACTTCCAAAGGTAGATTATTTTGGGGAGAACCTTGGATGAATCATCTAACCCGTGTGACCCAAGTAATTACTGCAATACACATTTCAAAAAGCAAATTTCTATTTAGTTTTCACAAATATTACAATTAAATGCAACAGTTCATATTTTGCATTGATAGCAACTTTGTATCCTCCAAATTAATTCACTTAATCACTTTCCTGTTGTATACTTTCCCAAAACACACTCACTTTTCCTTCAAACATCCTAAAACTTACATTTAGCACCAACAGAATATGATTGAATCCTTCCAGGCATTTATTCTCTGCTGGTCAGTAAATTTACTGCCCTTGATACACTTATAATAGGATTCAATTGTAATAGGCACGGCAGCAAGTTTGATAAATTTACTAACAAACCTAGATATTCGCCCACAAAATATACAATCAATTCACTTCACAGTACATTCTGTGAAGTGCTTTTGAGATGTCTAGAAGACGTGATAAGGCGCTATATCAAATGCAAGGATTATTATATTATTATTATTCCCCTCCCAGAGTTCCACCTTCTGCATTCCATTTATCTATATTTTAAAAAATATCAAGTTCTTGAGATGTTACTGATTATAACACAGAAAAAACAGGACCAGAACAGACCACTGTGGCTTTATAAGTCTCTCTACATTTAACTGCAACACCTGAACGCTTGTATTAACAGATGCATCCTTGGTAACTCATTGTCAGCTCTCCGTAGAAGCTAAATATACCGTGGAGACTTTTTTCATTACAGTAAAATAATTCCTAAGATTGCAACAATAAGAACGTACTTTACCTCGGATTCTGACTCATTTCTTCCAATTGTTTACAAAGTGCTCCCCTATAAACACAACCCCTACCTGATCAAGTTTAATTGCCTTTTCCATCCAGGCACTTGGTTAAAAAAAATCCATCTCTAGCTCCAGATTTTCCTGACTTTTTTTTGATTGGCAAGAGCCAAAACTTGGGGGCACCCACAGAGTGTGTGCTGTGGTACTGATGGAGTCTAACCAGCTAAAACCGCACAGCTTATCAATGAGATCACTGCCTGGCAAACTTTCCCGCTGCTTGTCCAGCTATTGGTAGGGCTTTGGCTTGCAGGATTAACAGGAACTGAGTGGGATGACTCCCTGCCCCCAGTGACCAGTCTGCCCTTCCAAGTCGTGCCAGTGGGCCAGGTGCTGTCATCACCTGGATACTGCAGGTGAGCCTGGCTCAGGAACAGGACTACCAAGACCGCCACAGAGGCTGAGCTTGATTCTGATTTGGTCTCTGATCTGTACCTCATTTCTTCTAAATATTTACAAAGTGCTCCCCTGTAAACACATACAAGTAAGTTAGACAGTCTGGGCCAACTTTTGGCGACCTCAAAATGATGGGGGGGTGGGGGGAGTTCATAGCCCCCCTGACCTCCCTACCGGGTCCGCCGCTGATCAAGATCATATCGATTGACTCACTCTGTGTTGTGTTAGCTGGGCAGCAGTTCAAATAGTACAGGTGGCCTTGGTACCCTTTGTCCTAAATCAGAATTTTCCTCTCTTGAATGACACCCATTGATCACTGATGAAAAGTGCAAATGTATGGGCATCAGATATGGCCAGGATTGAGCTTCCATTGTTTGATAGGCCGGTGGCGCTCGGCATCAAGAATCATGAAGAATGGTATCGTGATTTAATCCAAAGTACTGGAGGTCACCAAGCACCACAGAACCTTAGCAACTTTAAACAAGCAAGGAGTCATTTGGAAAGGAACAAAGCTGTGCATACAGTGTGTTGCAGTTCATCGTAACAGGTCAAGAAACATCCTGTTGGAATAAACAAAGTAGATTGCATTACTTCAGCACAGAAAATGCTACAAGATGAAATGCTGCACAGGATACTATTGAAGTGATTGAACACACTGTTTTGCTGTAATACTGTAGTAGGATAGTTGCATAGTTTATTTTTAAATTCAGAATTGCATATGTAGAGTACAGGAACAACAATTTACATTTACAGAACACTATTCATGTCAGAGCAACATCTCAAAGCACCTCAAACAGTTGCCTGCTCACCCAAGCTTGGGCAGAGGAAGAACAAACAGGATCTTATAGGGGTTGGTGTGAGTAAAGATAACCAAAAGCACAGTCAAAAAGATAGCTTGAAAGTAATGCTTTAAAGGTATGGAGGGAGTATATGAGGCAGAGAAATTCCAGGACACAGTTCCAGACAACAAGAGCAGAATGGCTGAAATTTTGGATCGGTTAGCAAAACATGAAACAGGCTGCTGTTGAGGAAGGGGCAGGCTCGGTTGGGTTGTAGAAAGTTGGAGAGGTAGAGTAGGTGAGCCCGTGGCAGGATTTAAACACAAGAACAAGGATCCTCAATGCAATCCGTTGGGGACAGGAAGCCAATAGAGCCAAGTAAGGAAAATAATAATAATCCTTGCATTTGATATATCGCCTTATCACGTCTTTGAGAAATCTCAAAGCGCTTCACAGAATATACTGTAAAGTGAATTGACTGTATATTTTGGAGGTAATAGGCTCATGGAGCCTGGTGTGGAAGAGGAGATGGACTGGTGAGTTCTGCTTGGTCTACAGCTTGTGTAGGGAGTAGCAGAGGAGACCAGCAGGCAGGGAGATGAAATAATCGAGCCTGGACGCAATGAAGGCATGAAGGAAGCTCCCAGCAGTCTGGGGAGAAGGAGAATTCCAAAAGATCTTCTCCAAAAGATCTAGCAGGTTCAGCTAAATGGCTGTATTTATGCCTACAGCTCATTGTGGCGGATAAAAAGAGAGAAAAGGAGGTCACTGAGTCTCTTTGGGGCAGTCACATATGGCAGTGAATACCTGAATCCAGCCAGTCTTCCCTGTGGCAGTCTCGATAGTCAATGCAGGTCTGCATTAATCCATGGCTTTGTTGTTAATGGGAACAAGCAACCTGGCTCATCAGAGGAATTATATCCAGGCAGACCAGCCATGGTGGGGGGGGGGTTGTAATTTTTCCCATTTAGTTACTGTTAACCCTGTAAGTCAAAGCCTTAATCTATCCTCATCCACTCCCTCTCCTCTCACCTCCACTGCGCTGTCCTTGATTGGTTCAGACCATAGCTCTCACACCGCCTGCACTTCATCTCCTCAAACGGCTTCTCCTCCAGCCCCCGCACCGTCTCATGTAGCGTTCCTCGGGGCTCTGTCCTTGGTCCCCTCCTCTTCAACATCTATATGCTCCCTCTTGGTGACATCATCCGCAGACATGGGTCAACTTCCACATGTATGCGGATGACACCCAACTCTACCTTTCCTCCTCTACCCTCAACTCCACGACCACTGCTGTCCTGACAGAATATCTGTCAGACATCAAGTCCTGGATGAGAGCTAACTTTCTACAGTTGAACCTCAACAAGACCGAGGCTCTCCTGATTGGCTCAGGTCAGGGCCTCCTCACCTCAGGCGCTGACAGCATCACCGTCCATGGTTGCACACTCCACGCTAAGCCACTCCGGAAACTTGGGGTATTGCTCGATCCTCAATTATCTTTTCTAAACACATTCGCGCCATGACCTGCTCTGCCTTCAACCACCTCCGCAACGTCGCCCGGCTCCGACACTGTCCCACACCGCAGACCGCCAAAACGCTCATTCATGCCTTCATTACATCGAGGCTCAACTATGCAAACTCACTACTTGTCGGCCTTCCCACCGCCTCCCTCCACAGGCTGCAGATCATCCAGAACTCTGCAGCCCGTGTCCTCTCATGCACCAGACTCCACAACCCTATCACCCCCATCCTTGCCCAATTCCATTGGCTTCCCATCACACAGAGAATACAGTTCAAGATCATGGTCCTCACTTTCAAAGCCCTCCATGGTCTTGCTCCCCCGTACCTCTGCGACTTCCTAACCCCCTACCATTCTGTTCGCTCCCTCCACTCAGCGGGCTCTGGCCTGCTTCACGTCCCCCGCCTTGCTCACCCCACTATCGGCGGGCCTTCCGCCACTCTGCGCCCACCCCCTGGAACTCCATCCTTCGGTCTTGCCCCTCCCTCTCCATCTTCAAGACCACCTCAAGACTCTCCTCTTTGCCCGAGCTTTCGATCTTCCTGCTTCCCCTCTGCCCTCCACCCTCCCCGACCCTCAGCTCGGATCCGTAACTCTGTCTGTCCAGCGCCTTGGGACGTCCTCCCGACGTGAAAGGTGCTATATAAATGTAATTTTGTTGTTTTGTTCTTGTTAACCGGTAAGGTAGTCATAACTGGACATATAGCAGGAAGCTTGTTGCTCAGGGTTGGCAATGGTAAACTGTGTGATTTCTTAAGAAGTTTGTTTTTTTGGATATCTGTAAGCATGGCGAGGGGTTTCTGTGTCTATTAAACACTTGATTATACATTATAAATATAATATATATTCACAAGTATACAGTCAATTTACTTTATAGTATATTCTGTGAAGTGCTTTAAGATGTCTAGAAGGTGTGAAAAGCACTGTATCAAATGCAAGGATTATTATTATTATTGACTGGTCAAAAAAAAATTTAAACATATGTATCGCAGCCGTGGTAGCACACCTTTTTTTGTGCAATAACCTGAAGGCCCAACAGAGCCACCAATGGAAGTTTGGTAGACCAAGATTTTGAGGTGGGTCTTGAAGGTGGCGAGGGAGGGGGCAAGACGGAGAGACTGCGGGATGGAGTTCCAGAGGGTGGGTGCGTAGTGGCAGAAGGCCCGCCTGCCGATAGTGGTGCGAGCAAGGTGGGGGACGTGAAGCAGGCCGGAGCCGGCTGAGCGTAGGGAGCAAACAGGATGGTAGGGGGTTAGGAGGTCAGAGAGGTAGGGGGAGCAAGACTGTGGAGAGCTTTGAAGGTGAGGACCAGGATCTTGAACTGTATCTTCTGCGTGATGGAAAGCCAGTGGAGTTGGGCAAGGATGGAAGTGATAGGGTCATGGAGCGAACACACTACACTCAGTAGCACAGCACCACAGAATACATAGAACTGGTCACATTCATACAGGCATTGATTGATTATAAAATGTCCTAGAGTCAGTCTTAAGCCTTTGTAAACATTTTTTTAAAAAATGCTAAGAAAATATACTGCAGTATACAGCACAAGATTTCTACATATCCTGTGGATTTTTTTCTCCAATAAACATAATAGAAAAGACAATTAAAATCCAACGTTACACATTAAACAATCAACAGAAAATGCGATTTTTCAATCTCAATTTTCCATTTCCTTTAATTTACCGGGGAAAACAACAGATTCACTTCCAAAACTCTATTCCCACCTGCTGCCACTTAGAGCTTTGAACTTCTAAAAGTAACTAGCAATTTTGAGGAATTAATCCAAAGGACATGATATGGCACAGAGATTGTGGGGCACCGATGGATGCATATGCTGGAAGCATTAGGACAATGTGAAAACAAGATTTTAGAGTACATAGCTAAAGATATAGAACACAAGTCGCAGTCACCCGAGTTAAGAGGTGAAGTTATAGAATATTAATATTGCAAAATAGAAGGCTCTGGGTAAATCTTAGTTTAATATTCAAGATCCTAAAGATTGCAGATAGACCTGAAGCCTAGTAAGATTTAAGACAGAAACTCGTAAAGGGGGAACAGAATCAATGTCAGAAGATGAACAGACAACTTACTACTTTAACTACTTCACACAGAAAGTGGTAAATAAAATGGAATGAACCACCCAGGGAAATTAGTAGAGGCAGATTGTGACAGTAAACTCAAGAGGGAATTGATAGCTATTTGGTAAATAAATTGATTGAGAGGTATGAGAGACACAGCAGTGTTTGATTTTTTAAAAAAACTTAGAATTGTCGATGGTTTGTGTAGTAAGTGGGTCAGTACTACCCTCTGTTGTCACGTATCGCTTCAAAGTCAGAGTAAAGGGATGCAACAGCGTTTCAGATCACAGGGAATAAATAAAATTAAAATAAATAAATAATTTGGTCACTCAATTCATGACTGTTTGTGGGACACTGCTTTGCAAAATTGGCTGCCGCGTTTTGCCTACAAAGTATACAGTCGATTCACTTTGCAGTATATTCTGTGAAGCGCTTTGAGACGTTTCAACAAAGTGATAGGGCGCTGTATCAAATGCAAGGGTTATTATTATTATGACAAAGTCCACTTAGAGGATCAGCTGAGCCTGTTGCAGGAGAAACTAAGCTGTTATAATAATGAATCTAACACATAATACAAAAACTTAGAAGAAATTTAGTTGTCTAGTATTCATACAAAAATCTTGCAATCAATCCTCAGAAATACCTTATTTTTAAAAAAATAAACTTTTTTTAAGACATGGCAAGAATTTTCATCTTCTTCACCAAGGTTGGGCAAAGATTCAGAAGTAGAATCGTAATTATCAACAGCAAAATAGATTGAAACATATGGGAATGCCGCTTACTTTTCACATCAGCATGTGTCAAAACAAATATTTTCCAAGCAAAATGAATGTCATTTCTAATCATGTGTCAGTTCGGGTCATGTGGTGGAATTCTCGCATCTCAGTCAGAAGGTTGAGGGTTCAAGCCCCACACGGCAAAACTTTAAACTTACAGTCCAATACACTGCAGGGGGAGCGCTGCATTGTTACAGGTGCAGTCCTTCAGATGAGGTATTAAACTGAGGTCCTGTCTGCCTGATTCCATGACACTACAGTATTTGAAAAGAGAAGGGAGTTTCTCCTGGTGTCCTGGTCAACAATCCCTCAAGTAAAACTGGTCATTCAATTCATGGTGGTTTGCGGAACATTGCTGTATGCAAATTTGCCTACAAAGCGCAGTCACTACACTTTACAATGAATCCTGTGATGCGCTTTGAGATGCCCTCCCAACATGAAAAATGTTATATTAAATGCAAGGATTATTATAATAGCACTTAGCGCATTACCTGCCACCTTTCTGTATGTCACCAAGAACGTTTTTCTTTAAACTTGTTAAAGATAAAAATAAATATTGCATCAGGTCAATATCAATAATACGATCAATAATATGGTGCCTTTATCACCAAACATTACATTGATATTAATAATCTCAAAGTTTTCATGAGCCTCAGTAGCAGTGAAGCAGAAACCAATCATAATTTGCATTTTATATCGCTTTTATCCTTAAAGGAAAATACTGTTATCTTCAAAATTAGTTTCACTGCATCTTATCGATCAATCAAATTTACACAGGAAGAGGCGGAAGATGGAGGGAAAGTGTTTGGACAAATTTGCCTTTCTGCGGTTACATCATATCCATGGACTTCAAAATAAACGTTGAACCTGTGTGGGTACCCCCACCGACCCCACCCATCCCAGGAGATAACTGCTCCTTTGAATGCAAAAAAACAAACAACAGAAAACACAAACTGCTGACACACACAACAACAGGCAATCTGGATGGTGATGATGAGCAATGCCATTTCTTAGCGCTCTGAAGTTCCCCCTCTCTCTCTCTCTCTCTCTCTCTCCCCCTCTCGGACCTGCTCTGCTTTCTAAAGTGCTTCCAAACACAGTCAATTCACTTCGGTGCATATTCGGTGAAGCGCGTCGGGACGTCCCGATAAGACGCGATGAGGCGCTACGCCAAACGCCAGGATTATTAGTAGTAGTATTATTATTATTACAATGAATGCAAAATGGCAATAAAACATTCCCTCGCTGAGAAAAACTTTGGTTGGGGGGGGGGGGTGGGTGAGGGGAAAAAAAGAGAGCGAGGCGGCGGGGAGCGGGGAGTGAGTGAGTGGGTGAGAAACGTGGGCATGTTTTTTTTGGGGGGGAATATAATAATACTGTACGAGGGTTTAAGCAGTAGAAGGGGCGGTTATATGTGGTGTGTGTGACCCTGGCGGTACATGTACTTCCTGGCGCGCTGTGCCTGTTTCCCGCTGACACACACACACACACTCACTCACTCACTCACTCACAGGGATGGCGGACTCACCTCGTCCACCGTCCGCCGCGGGAGGTGCAGGATCCCCAGCAGCAGTTTGAGCTTCACCGCCGACGAGAGGCCGTGAAAGCACACCCTGATGTTGTCCACCACGTCCTTAGTGAGCAGCGAGGCGATGCTGGGGGGCGCCCACAGCTCGTCCGCCGAGCCCAGCTTGTTGTGAAGCCACAAGCCCGTGTCGCTCTCCCGCATGGACGCCATCTTGGAAAAAGGAGATTTGAATGGACGGGCATTAAGCGGGGACGCCTAAACCTCGCCGCCCATCCCCCCCCCCCCCCTCCCTCCTCCACAGGACCCCGCCCCCCAACCGCACCACAACGCCCCCGCACGGCGGGCGCAGCGCAACCGAACTCGCTCGCGCCACCCGCCCGTCACCATCCGCGTCGGGCCCCAATGGGACGCGCGCGGCTGACCCCCCCCCCCCTCCTCCACGTTCCCGCAGCCGATTGGCAGAGCCGGGCATCAATCACGTCGCGTCGCCACGTTTTTTGGTTTGTCCCACCCACCGCCGCCGTCGTTGAGGGAGGGACGGTTGGGAAGGGTTTGTTTGAAAAACAATTAAGGGGGAGACGAGAGGGGAAAACACGGTTGTGTGTCTCACACACACACACATATATATATATACACAGAGACATTTAGATAAAAACACAAACACGTTCATCGGAGTCGCTGTGGAGTCTGTGTGAGAGGGAGCGGTTGTGTTGATCATAAAACCGCGGACTCTGTGTGTTTCTTTCTCTGTCAGAGCGGCGGCGTCGGGCAGAAGATGATGGCGGTGCGAGGCTCCCGGGCGCTCTGCTGCTCTCTCCTCCTCCTCCTCACCGTCTCCGGGGTGAGAGCAGCCGAACAGGACTCGCAATCCGGCACCGTGATCCCGGCCGAAAGTGAGTGTCCCCCCCTGCCCAGCCCTGCCCTGTCCAGCCCTGCCCTGTCCTGCCCTGTCCAGCCCTGCCCTGTCCTGCCCTGCCCTGTCCAGCCCTGCCCTGTCCTGCCCTGTCCTGCCCTGTCCAGCCCTGCCCGTCCAGCCCTGCCCTGTCCAGCCCTGCCCTGTCCAGCCCTGCCCTGTCCTGCCCTGTCCAGCCCTGCCCTGTCCAGCCCTGCCCTGTCCTGCCCTGTCTTGCCCTGCCCTGTCCTGCCCAGCCCTGCCCAGCCCTGCCCTGTCCTACTGGTCTGAGGCTCAGTGTCAGTTGGGCTCATGTGCACAATAACAATGTTACTTCAATTATTTTATACACACACATAATAATAATACTAATAATAATAATCCTTGCATTTGATATAATGCCTTATTTATTTAATAATTTAAGTTCTATATATAATTCAATAATTGCTTGTGTGCATTCTATATGTTTAATTTCAATTTTTGCCCACAAAATACAGTATATCCAGTGAAGCGCTTTGAGGCATCTCAAGGACGTGTTAAATCAGGACATAAGAAATGCTACACAAAAAAAGACATGTTCCATCTAGTTCGCCTTCCACCCTCCTGACAGTTGCATGCACATATGTTCCAAACTACCTATGTTATTATTGGATATAATAATGGAAAATCACTCTCATCAAATGCAAGGATTATTATTATGATTTGCCTATAAAGAGCATTGTTTATGTATAATTTGCATGTAATCTATGTAAACAGCAATATATATATGTAACATAAATATTGTTTGTCATTATATGACTTAAATGTTTGTATATCTATATAATATCCATCATGTATGTGTGTGTATATTAGATAATTTATTGTATCTATGAATATTAATATATTCTGTGTATATATTTAGATTGTGTATAAATATTAGTATACTTCTAAATTTTCTATATGCAAATAACATCATTCTGTTGTACTGCCTGGTATTTTAGAGCTGGGAAATGCAGTTACCAACAATGGCAATCCAATTGCATTAATGACATTTAAAATTTGCAGAATTTCTTTTCTCATGCCCACCCAACCTCTCAAATATTCCTTCTCAACTCTTGTTACTATGAGGGATTGGCTAATGCAAGGGCTATTTAAGGAGCAGCTTGATGCCGGAATGATATTGTAAAAGGATTGATATTCTGAAAGCATCAGATTGAAAGGACCACAGGACCTTCTTCATAATAAACACTCTGTAGGGCGTTTTTCACAGGAACCAAAAACAACAAAATTACATTTATATAGCGCCTTTTACGTCAGGAGGACGTTCCAAGGCGCTGGACAGACAGAGTTACAGACCTGAGCTGAGGGTTGGGGGAGGGAGACTGAAAGCACAGTCGAAGAGGAGGGTCTTGGAAGGGGCGAGAAGAGGGACTGCGGGATGGAGTTCCAGGGGGTGGGTGCAGAGTGGCGGAAGGCCCGCCGATAGTGGGGTGAGCAAGGCAGGGGACGTGAAGCAGGCCAGAGCCCGCTGAGTGGAGGGAGCGAACAGAATGGTAGGGGGTTAAAGGGTCGGAGAGGTAGGGCGGAGTTGAGGTCATGGAGGGGTTTGAAGGTGAGGACCAGGATCTTGAACTGTATCCTCTGTGTGAGGGGAAGCCAGTGGAATTGGGCAAGGATAGGGTCGTGGAGTCTGGTGCGGGAGAGGACATGGGCTGCAGAGTTCTGGATGATCTGCAGCCTGTGGAGGGAGGCGGTGGGAAGGCCGACAAGCAGTGAGTTTGCATAGTCGAGCCTCGATGTAATGAAGGCATGTTGAGGGATTTGGCGGCCTGCGGTGCAAGATAGTGTCGGAGCCGGGTGACATTGCGGAAGTGGGGGAAGGCAGAGTGGGCCACTCACTTGTTGGCCATATAAATATGGATCTATCACCATGTTCATGTTTATTTAAACCCCCTTAAGCTACTCTTCCTTTGATTCTTCACATGATGTGTAAACTAGTAATCTGCTATGTGGTAATAATAATCTGTTATGTGATAAAGCCTAAGGCCTACCCATTTAATATTATAATTGGTAATTTATTGTATATTAATCTATTCTAATGGTGTATTGCACCTTAGAGTGAAGTTATTATGCTTAAAATGTTATAACTTTCACACTTTTATTTCCATGGCATCCATCACTGGACAGTTGCAGTCCTGTGGCTTTTTAGATGTTGTTTGTGGATAGANTTTTTTTCTCCATGTTTTTCTACTTTGCCCATTCTATATATCATCTCTGACAAGGTAATAGGCTAGGAAACCCTTTTGGTTAACATCAACTTAAGATACAATTCCAGCCCATCATGGGCCTCCGATTTTAACGGCCTGTATACAGTACCTTGAACTTCAGAGATAGGAGTGCAGGTAAAAAGGCTATGAAAGGGGAAATCGGGTTCAGGGTTTTATATACGGGTCGTTGAAAATAAAGCAAGGAAGTAAGGTTAAATTTACGCAAGATATTGATTGCCCTTATTTGGAGTTTTGCACAAAGAAAGGACAGAGTCATAGAAAGGGCAGAGCATAAATTCACAATGATAAGGGATTATAGATAATAAGCAAAGGCTTAAAAATTGGGTTTGTTTCCACTTAAACAGAAAGGTTCAGAGAGGGTCCAATAAAGCTGTTTAAAATTCTGAAAGGTTTTGAGTGGATAGATAGTGAAAGATTATTTCTTGCTAGTTGATGGATGGTGGTAACTAGTCGGGGTTATCGGACTATGGAATGTTTTGTTACAAGTTCCTATTGACTCTGAGACAATAAAAACCTTTCAAAGGGAATTGGTTAAATATTTGAAAGGAAGAATATAAAAGCGCAAAAGCAGAGAATTGGGATTAGAGCAGTTCAGTTATCTCCAGTGTAGGGAATGCACACTGACCATTTTGGTTTCATTCAAAGTGTGGCACGCTATGTTATACAAACAAGAATAATTTAACACATATAGAACTATCAGTGTACAGTGGCATTTTTAGCTTTGTAGGAAACCAGAGTACATAATGCACCAGATCTTATAATAATAAGCCTCGTTCTTCTGCTCTGCAAACTCAAACTGAGCCTTCAGCTGCTATATCCTTCCCTCTTAAAACTTTCTCTCTTAACTTCTCCATCGCACTCCTCAATGACACCTCTTCAACCAATTGCTTTCAGCAATATCTCTGTAAAAGCACTCCCAAGATATCATGTAAAAAGGGCTATACAAATGCACATTAATAATAACTGAACATTTACATGTTTAATTAAAATTAAAAATTTTCAAAACACAATGAGTTTGAAAGCAGAATTTTATCAACTATCCACAGAGAGTTTGTTTTCTGGTAATATCCATTAGCAACAATTACTAGTTTAGGATGATGCATTTAAAATGAGAACTCTGTCCACTGGTATCTAATTTCAGGCGATGAATTTAAGATTATAACTTGGGCAATTTGGAAAACAAATTCTTAAGAGGTTTGTCAGAGTGTGGAATAGGGGGTATGGTAGAGGGCATTAGGTGGATTGGAGGCTCATGTTGAGAATAAACAAGGCATGCACTAATTAGGCTGAATGGGCTTTTCCATGCTGTAATGTTCTGTGTAATTTTGTGAATTGTCAGAGGTGCCTATTGGAGCAAACTCAATTGGGCCATTTTGGAGGCCACATAAGGGACAGGTATTACAGTGAAAGAGTCGTGAATTAGAATCAAAATATTGATGGCTTCACTGGGGCAGCGTTCTGCTAGGAAGTCATAGATTTTGATTCACTTGATTCATTTTATGCACTTCTTGCGCATGTTTGTTTTCAGTGAGATGGCTTAGAAAATAATTTAAACCACAGATCAATAAAACTCAAGATAAAGCCGATTTATGTGATTAGATTTGATTTCCTCGTGGCGTTTTTATCCATCCGTGGCGCCATGCCTCATTTTGTTTGTTTAAAAGGGTTTCAGGCCCATATTGGAGAATAGAAAAAGCTCTGTTGGGATTTCTATTTGATAACTCATTCTAGATCCAAATGCAGCAGCACATTGGGTTGTAAGGTACTGCTGCTTCCTCCACAGTTCCAAGCATTTATTAGTTATAGGTTTTGTCTTTAAGGTCTTCACCTAGAATTACCTTCACATCCTAGCATCTCTCTATCTCTGTAACCTTCTACTCCACTCATCGTATCTGCTTCGCAAACTTTGGCCTGTTGTGCATCTATGCCCCTACCCCAGGAACTCCTCTCTACACCCTCTGCATCTCCACTTATTTATCTGTCCTTAAATCCTGCCTAAAAACCTAGCTTTTCAACCACGCTTATATTCGCCTCCCATTTTTCCTCGCTCGGCATCCGATCTGGTACTTGTTACTTTACAGCATATTCTGTGAAGCGCTTTGAGGCGTCTAGAAGATGTGAAAAGCGCTATATCAAATGCAAGGATTATTATTATCTGATTGAAAATAATTTGTCTTCACCTATATTATTATATATTATACTTATTAAGCTTTCGAAAATCCTAAGAGTGAATCATGCAAATTGTTACAGTGCAATACAATTTACATTTACGCAGTGACTTTCACATCAGGGTGTGTCTCAAAGTGCTTTACACATTTGGCTGAGCAGCTGAGTAGGGTGGGGGGGAGGTTGTTGTAATGTTCCATATTTTGTTCCTTGCCTGTCTGTTTCAGTTTTGGGGTCCAAACCTTCAGCTGCTATTCCCCTAGTTTCTTGAGCTCTGTGATCAAATACCTATATCTTGAGTAGAACTACCTACCTTCAAACTTCTTAACCTATCTCTTTGACCCGCCTCCCAGCTTCGCTCTTTCCTCTCCTCTCACTCCCTCCATGAATCCGTCCAATTGGGTTTCCGTGCTGCTTACAGTACAGAAACTGCTCCGGTCTCGGTCACAAACGACATCCTGACCATGTGCGACCAGGGCTCCTTCTGCCTCCTTGACCTCTCCGCAGCCTTTGATACAGTGGACCATTCATTACTCCTTCACCGACTCTCCTCCCACCTCAAGCTTCAAGGTTCTGTCCTTGACTGGTTCAGGTCCTATCTTTCACACCGTCTCCACTTTGTTTCTGCAAACGGCTTCTCCTCCAGCCCCCGCACCGTCTTGTGTGGTGTTCCTCAGGGCTCTGTCCTCGATCCCCTCCTCTTCACCCTCTATATGCTCCTCCTTGGTGACATCATCCGCAGACATGGGGTAAATTTCCACATGTATGCGGATGACACCCAACTCTATCTCTCTGCCTCCACCCTGAACTCCAGGACTACTGGCATTCCTGACTGACTGCCTGTCCGACATCAAGTTACTGATTGCCAGACTCCGCCACTGCCTCACCCCTCAGGCTGCCGAAACCCTCACCCACGCATTCGTCATATCAAGGCTCGAATACGGAAACTCCCTCCTCATCGGCCTTCCCAACTCTTCCCTTCACAACCTGCGGATCATCCAAAACTCTGCAGCTCGTGTACTCTCACGCACCGGGCCCCGTGACCCCATCACTCCCACCCTCGCCCGACTCCACTGGCTCCCCATCCCCCAGAGGATTGAGTTCAAGATCCTCGTTCCTCACTTTCAATGCCATCCATGAGCCCCCCGACCCGCTCTACCATCGAGCTTTCAGCTTCTCTGCCCCCACACTCTGGAACTCCATCCCACAGTCCCTTCGCCTCGCTTCCTCTCTTGCCTCCTTCAAGGCTGATCTCAAGACCCTTCTCTTTGATCGTGCCTTTGATCGCCTTCCCGCCTCTCTGCCTTCCCTCACCCCTCCCCAATGCTCAGGTCCTGACACCTGACTGTTCAGCACTTTGGGACATCCTCCCGACATGAAGGCGCTCTATAAATGTAATTTTGTTGTTGTTGTTGCCTGGGTTAGAATTTTCGAACTGCCCTGCTTCTCATTCTGCTCGTTGATCCGAATCTTTCCATTAAATCATGTTTGAGATGTTATCCTTGGTGAAAGGCATGAATGAAAGGCAGCTTGCCATTTCAAGCTTCTACCAATGATGTTTTTTTGTTGCAATTGTATCACATTTTTAGATTAAAGTGTTTTTTTTCTTTCAATCTCTTCTCTATTTCTTTCATGTGACTCCTTTTCATTACCTTTTTGACTTTACATATACTGAACCTTTTTGTCACTGTTCCTTTCAATTCTATGCAATCTCTAAAAGGCTGAATAGAGTAAGTAAAGGCATATATCAGTACAAAATAAGTCTATTGTTGAACATGGGTTTACTGGCGCTCCCTGTGAGAGTAAAAGGATATTTAAGTGGGGAACAAGACACCATGGATCTGCACAGGCTCCATATGTTGGAGTGTGCACCTAAGCAGTTTGCTGCAGTCAGTGACTGGGGTTAGAAAGTGCTGACTGGAGCCCACCAGGAGAGCCTCTGTCTTGTCAATGTTCGACAATTGGGCCAAAAAACCTTGTTTATCTGAATCAACATGAACAGGTTTGACTTACATGTATTATCCTAATGTGCCTTCCACAGGCCGTCCATGCGTTGACTGCCATGCCTTTGAATTCATGCAGAGGGCACTGCAGGACTTGAAAAGGACTGCAAATAATCTGAACACTAGAGTAAGTATACAATGCTCACTGTAACAATTGGATACTTTGATTCTGGGAGTCGTGCAAGAAGTGGCCTGAGGATAGGATGCTTTTTGGTCGATAACTTCAAAATAAAATATAACTATTAAATGTCCAAAGAATACAGGATGCTTCAATTTCATATATAGCACCTAACAAAGATAAGATTTAAAATGGACAGCCCAAACCAATTGGATAATCCAAACCATTAGATGATATGTAGTTCCTATACATTAATGCAGTTTGAATCAGCAAAAAATAAGGATAAGGAAAGCATTTCAGTAAAAGTGAAGGATACTCTGCCCCTATTCTGTAGAGTTTCATAATCATACATCCAAATATTGGCAAATGCCAGCTTAGCTGCTGCGTTTATGCTATCGGTATGACAAGTTACCTCTTGCACCATCATAATCCCTCCAAAAAACAATAATAAATTGGTCATTTTCAATCTGCGACTGTTTGTGGGACACTGCTGTTCGCAATTGGCTGCGCGTTCGCTCACAAATATACAGTCAATTCACTTTACAGTATATTCTGTGAAGCTCTTTGAGATGTCTAGAAGACATGAAAAGCCTCATATCAAATGCAAGGATTATTATTATCTGATTGAAAATAATTTGTTTCACCTATATCCACTTCACTCCCAGAAATATCCACCTGAACTTCACCTTCATCCTACCTCAGAGAGAATATTTACATTGATGTTAGGGGTTTGATTTATTTTTTGATTTAGCATCTAATAAGGTTATGTAAAGCCTAAGCTAATTATTGACAAGGCAGTAAAATGAATTGCTCTTGATATATTCAATGTGTTTATTGATAGATTTGTATATTTAATTTTTAAAAATTGCAGAAAAGAAAATTTGCAGTAAAAGCTTAAGATTATAGAAAATGGCTGAATGATTAAATCCATTGAATTTGTGGCTATCTATTAATAAGTATGTATTGTATTTTTTTTAATGTGTTAAGTATCTGTACTACCTACTTTATCTGTGAATCTTTGTTTCTTCTAATCTTGAGGCTGTAAAATGACTTCCAATCCAGCCCAGGATGAAAGAGGCTGGCAATGTTTAAAATGAAATGAGGGGGGTGGGGGGTTGTTGATTGTATGATAATGCTGCCCTTTATGTATTCTACAGACTGAAGATCTGCTGCTGCGAGTGGAGCAGAGGGCTTTGTGCGACTGCCTGCCTTCAAACCTAGTTGGCTGACGGATCACAAGATGGTGCCATGATGTTCCCATGAATCCTATACTACGCGTACACAAAACCACTTGTTGAACATGAGAGTGTAGGTTAAGCAGTATTAAGCTTAGTATTTACGGTGAAAGGTTTTAATATACAGTATTTCAAGAGACTTGTGGAAAATAAAATAGATGAATTATGAAAAGCATTTGTTTTTGCGGGTCAGTATAAAGACTTTGTTTCTGCACTTTAGAAAGCATGAAATGTGATGTGGTAGAACCATCCGTATAGCACTTTATTATGTAGAGTTTAATGTTTGATTGCGAGTGGTTAGAATGTACTTGTTCATATATACGGCTTAACAACACACCCGTGGGAAATAGTCATGTGTACGATTGGTCAGCTGTGCGTATTGCAAACCTTTGTACCAATATAAACTTTATTCAGCAGTTTAAATAAACCTACATGGTACAGTTCTCCCTACGGGTTTGTCCTGTTGTGCATTTAAAGGTTGGTACCACGTGAAATTATATCATTATTCGCCAGCTTGTGCTGATACATGCAGTGCCAAGTAGATTTGTATCTGCTTTCTATTTAATTTTGCTTCAATTCTCATTACCATGATCATCAGTCAAAATTCAAATTAGTGTAACAATTTCCTTTCTCTTTGATCATACCAATATAATTTAATAAGTAAAAAACGGCTTGGTCCTGTAATGGGAAGATGGAAGAGTATGTATTCTGGAAGGATGAGATCAGATGGGCTGAGTGACCTTCTTCATACAAACCAATCTTGTGATCTTCTGAAAATGGATTATGGAGTTCTGAGCTCGTCTAAGTTAATGTCCCAATGCATGCTTGAGGGTGTGTCAGCCTAACATGGTTGAAAGCACTTTTGCTTCTGAGTCAGAAGGTTGTGGTTCAAGCCCCATGTTGGACTTAGAACTCATACAGTCCAAGCAGCCATTGCAATGTAGCACTACATTGGGGGTGCCTTCCTTTGGATGAGATGTTAAATTGTCTGCCTGTTCGGGTGAACGTTAAAGGCACGATTCGAAAAGAGAAGGGAGTATCTCCCAGTGTTCTGGACAACAATCCCCCAGATAAAATTAGTCATTCACTATACCCTTACGTGTAGTGACTGTATTTCGTGGGTGAAATACACATGAAATACAATTTTATCAAAATGTATTCACAAAATTAATTTACTGTAACGTACTAGCATTCACAGTAGATTTGCAAAATTATTTGATCATTAAAATTTCTTTCCCACCCCTTATTTTTCCTGGTATATTTGTAATTTATTATGGAATTTTCAATAAAATGACCAAACCCTACAGGGGAAAAAAGAGTGCAATGCTAAACAATGGGAAGCAATTTATTGTGACCCTGGAGCATTGTTAAAAAGATCTTAAATCCTTCAAACCCAAAAGGTCTTATTGTCCTACATCTTGTGGATTATGAAAACATTGTATAACGGAGTTGAGAAACACCTCTGAAGGAAAGAGTTAGCATCACAGTCAGAAAAATTACATCTCCAAGAAACCCCATCACAGCAAATTGCAAGACATGGGAACCTCTAACTACTATCCTACATTCTATGCATCACTTCAATTATACAGCATAAATCAAAATTGTGGAGGCACAATAAAAATAATTCACAATAAGGTGAAACAAATTGATTATCCCATTATTTTCATTGCAATGGATAAACAATTTCTATACCTCTGCAGAATACTTTGGAAAGGACAAGATATTAGACTTGGAGAGAGTGAACTGAATATGCTAGTTATAAAAATTGTCTTGGGAGTAGCACAGCAATGTAGGCATTTTTTGAGATAAAATAACTTGTTTTAAATCTAATAATGCACAGATACTAATGTTTACAGATATCTAGTCTCTTGTCTGCTTAATAATGCCTCACTGCAAGGCCAGGTTTATAAATGTTAACTGCTGAAAACAACTCAAAACTGCACTTCCATTGAACCTATCACATGTGAGAGCTCTATCTCAATGTCAGGATTGTTAGCTATGCTAACACCAGATTCTTTGGTATTTTATGAAGCTGAGTATTCATTGCCCATTTCATGACTAATTTTCCGTGTTAATGAGTCGCCAATGCCTATTTCTGCAACACGTCTTTATCAGCAAGAAATACCTTGTCCAGGATTCTACAATGCAGCACTTTGCTGTCATTAACATTTTAGCTACTACATCACTTTATTATGCTCACCATTTCAACCCTTAAACCATAACTAAGTGCAAAATAGACCTCGTCATTACAGGCTCAATCTGAATTTGAGTCGCTTGTCTATTTTCATTCATTGGAAGTATTTCTGAGAGGAAAATGGCTTCCAATGAATTCACTGCTGTATTGCGGTCGAACATCCAGCCACTGTAGGGAGTGGGTGCAAAATCATATTTCCAGTGGCCAGAGTCTGACAGGTTACAGCACAAGCCTCGCAAGCCAGAGGACCTGGGTTCGATTCCCATGCTCCTCACACTTCTGTTTACCCAGCAGAAAGTAGGAATTCGGGTTAGTCAATTGGCAGATTGCTTTTCTGGGGGTAATAATCTCTTCAAAAAAAAATTTCAAAAATGTAATCCACAACTGTTTGTTGACAGTGCTGTGTGCAATTAACTGGCACATTTCATCCACAAAATAGTTAATTAACTTTACGGTATATTCTGTGAAGCACTTTGAAACGTCTCAATGATGTGTAAAGGCGCTATATCAAATGCAAGAATTATTATGATGATGCACTTTCCGGTTATCAGCAAGTCTCTACTTGCAAGTCCTGTACATTGGATCTCAAAATTATCCCAACTCCTCTAGTCAGTGCTCCGAGATGCTACCCCACGTGAAGGACATTATATAAATACAAGTTGTTGTTGTAGTTTTGTGCCTTGGAGATGCAAAATAATAAGCTGTGTGGAGTAAGGAAACGTGACAAAGATTTTGTCCTTCATGGAAATCAACATCGGGTCCTCTCGCTTGCAAGGCGAGAGCTTCAACCAATATGCTACAGGACTCCACAAAGGAAGGATGCTGCGTTTTGTGGCTGCTGGCGTTTAAAAGGTTGCTGCACACATAAGTGCAGAAATTGTCAACTGGCTTCCAGCCACAAAGATCCTTGAGCTTTCTATGATGCAAGAGAATTGGCAGAAAACAAGCCAGACTTAAACAAAACAATTGCTGTAAATAAGAAGCATCATTATGTACTGTAACATTTAATAACTGGCTACGTATGACTTCATGAATATCTGAGAAATTCATTTTAGGACTGAGAGTTTCATTTGTAAGCTTCTGCTCCCTTATTGGTAAAAGGATTTTTTAAAATAAATAACCGTGGACAATTCCTTTGTTTGTAACAACCGCATCTAATACAGTACAGCAAATTGACCACAGGAGGTCACTCTAATTCCAATGGTGATTCAGGTACAACATGTCGTCAGCTCACTTGTTCTTTGATCACTATACACTACTTTTACCCATTACATTATAGCAGATTCGGCTCTACTGATTATCAGTATTTTTGTAGAAAATTATGTCCTTTGTTTCAGTGGTGTGCAGTAGATTTGAAGCGTGATGTGCTATGCCATGAGTAGTGTATATTAAATGAGTGCGATGTTAAATCAAGGTCTTTCTGCCTGTTTAGATGGACATTAAAGATCACATGGGACTCTGAAAGAAGAGTGTTTCTCTTGGTCAACAATCATCAAAAATAAAATTAGCCATTCATGGCTGTTGTGCACAAATTGGCTGCCATGCTCACCAAAGTCACTCCACTTAAAAGTATATATTGTGAAGTACTTTGAGACATCCTCCTGACATGAAAGACTCTATATCAAATGTTATTATTATGCGTTGATTCCTCATAAGTATACTATGAATATAGGAATGTGAAAGAACAGAAAAGGTTACTTAACCGAAAGTTACAAATATATCATCTACATTACTTTATTTCTCATAAACTTCAATTGATTTTGTTTGCCAAATAGCTACGGAATTCTCTCTTGAATTTGGTGACATAAGCTGCATATTGGAGTGGTCTATTCCAATTATTTGCCACTATCCATGTGAAGTAATACAGTAAACTCCTTTTTGTCACTCAAGGAAAAAAGGTTCAGTGACGAGTTATCCGAAGTGGTTAGTTAGACGTGCATCATCAAGAACTTCTAGGATGCTATTAGTTATGTGTTATGTGGAGTGACAAATAAAGCAGAGTCCCTTATTAACATTTTGCATGGGAAACAGACGGGATATTGACAGCATGGCTACTTAAGTGGTAGAGACAAGTTAAGACTGTGTCTTGTTATCAAGAGGTTAGTGTATATCTGAACCGTCTGTTAATCTTCCCTCTTCCGAGCTGGAGTCTGTGTCCCCATGTTTCCAGATTGTTTGGATCATGATAAAAATATTATTAGACTTCAGTGTATCTATGGATGTTAAAAATATGGGTGCAATAAAACAATCTGTTTCAATTAAGCATGATTTTATTAATAACAATCCTTGCTCTTGATATAGCGCCTTATCATGTGGTTGAGATGTCTCAAAGAGCTTCACAGAATATACTGGATTGATTGTGTATTTTGTGGGCGAAATGTGGCAGCCAATTGCACACAGCAAATTATTGTTATCACTGCAAATTATTGCAAAGGTGTCATACTTGAAATGTTGCTATAGCAATTCTCAATGGTGCAAGTGTCAACTCCTTATAACAAACAGTACATGGGACACTGCTGTGCGCAATTGGCTGCCGCGTTTTGCCCACAAAATATACAGTCAATTCACTTTACAGTATATTCTGTGAAGCGCTTTGAGACGTCTCGAAGATGTGATAAGGCACTAAATCAAATGCAAGGATTATTATTATATTACATTCGGGATGTTGAACATGAGGATAAATGTAGGGATTTAACTTTTCATGTTGCCAAATATTTTCTTCTCCACGACTACGATGTTGTGGCTCGGTGCCACTCAGTACTTTAACTGCCTTGATTTATTCATCTTAACACTGAGACGAGCTGTACGTTATTAAGGAATAACTGCACAGTGAGCAATAAGTTAAAGAGAATTCTGACCACAGGGGTATATGACTCACAATGTATCAGACAGTAAACTATCAAACTCTTTAATCTGATTCATGTTCAGTCTTACAATACTTCACTGAAATGCAGACTGCTTTGATCCATAGAGTAATAATAATAATCCTTGCATTTCATTCCGACCTATCACATTGTAAAGACATCTCAAAGCACTTCACAGGATATACTGTCAAGTGGATTTACTGTGTATTTTGTGAACAAAATGTGTCAGCTAATTGCACACAGCAAGGTATCACAAACAGCCAATTAATGAGTGACCAATTTTATTTGAGGAATTGGTGGCCAGAACACCAGGAGAAACTCCATTCTCTTTTCGAATACTGCCATGGGATGTTTACCATCCACCTGAACAGGCAGATGAGACCTCAGTTTAA